AAGATCAAGGTGTTGGAAGGCTTTTCTTCTGAAGTCTCTTTCCTTGGCTTGTGCATTCTGGTCATCTCATTGTGTCCTCACATGGTCTTTCTTGTGTGCATGGAAGCCTGGTATCTGTGTCCAAGTTTCCTCTTCTTACAAGGATAATAGTAGTAGCGGGACTCAATCTAACGGCCTCATTTTAACTCAGTCATCTCTTTGAAGGCCCTTTCTCCAAATATAGTCACATTCTGAAGCACTAAGGTTAGGACTCAAGTTTTGGGTAACACTATCCAGCCCTAAGTTTCCTAACAAAAAGTTCTAAACTGTCACTTATGTCTTAAAAATTTTTGGAAGTGTTGTAACGTCAACAGTAAATAAAACTTATGGAGGTCACATAGGAAGAGTGAAAGTGCAATTTGCCTAGAGACCAGACATTTGATCAAAAGCACTGTTTTTAAAACTGTATCCATATTAAAAGTATTTTAAATGTCCCCTTTGTGGGCTTTTTTCCCCAATGACCCCCTCTCCCCCCACTGCCCCTCCCAGGCCTTCACCACATCATTGGGTACCCAGCTTTATGCATAATTCTTTTTTAAAATATATTTTTATTGATTTTAGGGAAGGAGGAGAAAGATAGAAACATCAATGAGAATCTTGATATGCTGCTTCCTGCACACTCCTACTAGGGATCTAGCCCACAACCTGAGCATCTGTCCTTGACCAGAATCGAACCTGGACCTTTCGGTCCACAGGCTGACTCTCTATCCACTGACGTTTAAACCAGCTAGGGCTTATGCATAATTCTTAAACAGCTCTTTGCTCCTCACCAAAAGGAACGCTGATGTTTGTTTGAGGGGATGGGATGTTTGTGTGCCTGTGTGTGTATGTAAAAATAAACTTTTAATTTATTTCAGGCATCTAGCAAAGTATTTTACAAACCAATTCTATTTCAACCTCACAGTCTGAGATACGGAAAATTTCCCACATTTTCCAGATTAGGAAACTGGGTCTCTAATGTAATTTGCCCAAAGCCACTGAGCCAGAATTTAGGTGAGTCTGACTTCTGAGCCCAACTTCTCTGTAATGTGGTTTCCTGACTCCTGTCCTTTTCTCAGATGAGATTGTGAAAGCTGCAGAGCTTTTGCCATGTGTGGTTCCTTCAAGCTATGGCTGTTAACACAGCATCTCTGCTATGACACCAAAAGCACAGGCAAAAAAAATAGGTGAGACTTCATCAAAATTTTAAAAATTTGTGCATCAAGAGTGTGAAAAAAATCAACTCATGAATAAAAGAAAATAGTTGCAAATCAAATATCCAATAAGTGATTTTTTTAATAGATGCCAGAATATATAAAGAACTAGAACTAAATGACAAAAAATTTTTTTAAAAATTAAAACTTGGCAAAGGACTTGGTCAGATATTCCTCCAAAGATATACAAATAGCTGATGTTTAAGTATGTGAAAAGATGCTCAACATTACTCATTACTAGGAAAATAAAAATTAAAACAAAATTAGACTCTGTCACACCTATTACAATGGCTATTATTTAAACAAACAAAAACAGTTCTTTAAAAAAAATTAGTTCCTTAAAAAAATATACAATTACAATACAATGCAGCAATTTCATTTTTACTGAAAAGAACTGAAAGCAGGGTCTAAATAATTACACACCAATATTGACAGCAACATTCCTCCTCTAGCCAAACGACAGAAATAATTCAAATATCCATCATCAGAAAAATGGACAAAATGTAGTAAATACATAAAATGGAATATTAGTCAGCCTTTAAAACTAATGAAATTCTGATACATGATACAACACAGATGAAATTTGAAGACATCATGCTAAGTAAAATAAGAGACATAAAAAGATAAATATTCTAGGATTCTACTTATATGAGGTACTGAAAACAGTCAAATTCATAAAGCATATGTTGAAGCTGGGGGAGAGAACAGGGAGTTATTGCTTAATGCAGGAGTGGGGGACATCCGGCCCTCAGCCGTATATAGCCTGAATAAGGCCAGAGAACTCATTTGGCCTGGCCCTTCCAAGACATTAGGGGTGAGTTAATAAATAAATGTTTGACCAAATATAGCAGGCTAATTTTTAAGGTGATAATTTTGTATGGCCTGCAAATGATCCTAATAAAGAGGGAATATGCTAATTGACCATCACACCCTCACAAAGATGGCTGTGCCCACAGCCAATAAGGAGACTATGCCAAATTGATTACTACACCCTCTAAGATGGCAGCACTCAGTCCCCTCAGCTGCCCAGGGCCAGCCCGAGGTGCAGGCAAGCCTCGGATGGTGGCTACCCAGCTGCCCCGGGGCATCAGAGACTCAGCTAACCAGGGCTGGCTGAGGCAGTGATGGGGGCATTGCCTCCCCCTAATCTCTTCCCGACCCTGAGGACTCCCGAACTGAGAGGGGGCAGGCTGGACTGAGGGATCCTGCCTCCAGTGCATGAATATAGAGCCTTTAGTGTTATAATAAATATCCAAATGGTCCTTGGCAAAACACAGGTTCCCCATCCCTGGCTTAATGGATAGTTTCTGTTTGGATGATGAAAAAGTTCTGCACTGCCAAACAAATATTATATGCAATGTTGAAAGGTATTCTTTAAGAAGAGGAAGAAGAAAAAGGTAAAGATAATTATGAACAGCAAATACATATCAACAAGTGAATCTAAAAACTAAGTGAATAAAAAACTTAACGAACAGAATCTGGTGAAAGGATCAGGGGTATAGAAAGGGAGTGGACTAACAATCCTTGAGGGGGAAAGGATATGGGAGTGCGGGAAGAGACTGGACAAAAACCATACACCTATGGATGAGGACAGTGGTGGGGGGGTAAGGGCATGAGGGGTGGAAACTGGATGGAGGGGAGGGGGTGGGAAAGGAACAACTGTAATAATATGAACAATAAAGATTAAAAAAAAGTTCTGGATAGTAATGATTGCACAATAATTAAATGTTCTTAATATGACTATACAACTTATAATGGTAAATTTTACATTGTGTATATTTTACAATAAAAATGTGGCTAATGTGAGGAATGTTTCATTTTATTTAAATAAGTTTAAAAACTGATTCTTGACTCAGTTATTAGAAAGTTTTAAGTTTGAAACATGTAAATTTTATAATATCCACTTAGAAGTATAGAAAAATATCTCACACGTATTTGATATGCCAACTTTGTTTTCAAGCCTGGAGCAATATTAATATAGCTACATCCTTTCCCTACCAGGGCAAGTCTTTCATTTTACACCACAAGCCTAATTTTATATTTTAAATTACACAGCCTACCTTTAAGTAGTCTTCAATCATACTTAACTAATGGGCATCTAAAAATATTTGTAGAATATCTACAGAAACACAAGCTGAATTCATGGAAGCATATATCAAATCAAAGGTACATCCAATACCACCGAAATGGTTTTATTTTTGTCAATGACAACATGCACAACACTATAACTGTACATTACTTTGGTTTCTTTAAATATTAAATATGCATTAAAAATGTTTACATTTAAGAAACATAACATACTAAAGAAGTCCTCTGAAAACATAATTACTCAATATTTTTTCCTGCTGTTTTACTCATAAATAACTTAATCTATAAAGTCATAAACAATTTAACTATTAACTTGACAAGTGTTCTATAATTTTATAAATAACAACATGCAATAAGTATCTGTAAGCAAATAAAATGACTTCTCATCACATGTTCTTGCCTCCCAATACACCTTCCAGTGCACTTGGTGAAGATGTCCTACATTTAAAATGTCTAAATACTCAAAAAACTATATTTTTAAAATAGTACAGAAGATTGTTATTTAAATATTAGCTTTACTAAAATCATTTGTTTGTCTTATTCTGCCATTTAAATAGAAACTAACAAATTCTAAAATGAAGTCAGATTAAATTTGATTTAGTCTTGAGAATAATATTCCATTGAGTTTCTATTTCAGAAACAGAATCAAAATTTATTATGAAGTAAATTCTGATTAGTTAAAACTCTATGGTAAAAATGACACACAAAAATAATTTTAGAAAGTCATTACAGAACATTAGATTACTTAGTTTTTGTTTAATGACTGGAAATCTTTATTTCTTCAGAAAATAGTAACATATATGTTGAATGACAGTTCCTGTTAATAGCTATCTACTGAGTTATTAGATAACCACTCAAGATATATTAGGTAAGTACTCAATTTACTTTTATGTAATAAACATAAAAAGAATTTTGCATGCTGAAGATGTTTCATCATTTTCAGAGTGTAAAACTACTAAGGGGAAAACATTCTCAATTAATATTCTCATTAATGATTCAATTGACAAATAAAAAGTAAAAGCTAAGTACTATCATTACTTTTAAAATCTAAGTTTCTAAAAGTTTTATTTTTCAACCAATACAAAATTGATTTGTTTCACACTATTCACTGCCAGACAAATTTTATGTTAAAAATTAAGCATTTTTTGTTAAACAGATTAGAACAAATGTTTTTGATTCTAATATAATGAATATAAATCAAAATTCACATATGGCGGTTGAAATTCTGTCAACTTTTAGCCTAATGCAACATAAATACAGTTATTTTGCATAAACAATTTAAAATTAAAGTTTATAATGGAAATGTCAGCAAGTCCTAACCACTATATTACTATTAATGGGTTCTGCTATACTACAAACAGTCTCACCAGATGTGCACATCTGATAGACTGCTTAGAAAATTAAAGCTATCAGATCTATAAATAAGGAATAAATATGAACACTATAATGCCAAAGCATTAGCACTGTTTAAAAAAGCAAGATGTGATGTAAACACATTTGACAGTCCTCTCTGTAAGCCAGTTTTCATTGATTTATAAAGCTATGGTTTTATAATTCTTTTAAAAAGGAAAATGTTGCTACACTGCTGCATGCAGTAATTTCATTGTACATTCTTGAGTACAATTCGATCTTCAAATCCTCTTGCAGAGTTTGACATCTCATTAAGAATTCTCTAGAAAGTCAGCTTGTCATATTTTCAGCAGCCTATAACAAGAAAGTAAGATTCAATATGATAAAAACATAGAAAAAGAGACACCATGGAAATAAATTTGTCAATACCACACTGTCATTAACAAACAAATCCTCCCCAACATATATCAAAACAGTTTTGTCAGGATAATGTAGTGGTTTTCATTTTTTGTAGTATATTAGAACTAGCTTTTAAACTGACTGCTAGGCTAACAGTAGGAAATTATTTAAACAATACAGTAAAAGTATATTACTACTAGAAAAATTAACCTATAGAATCCTTATCCACAGTCTTTATCAGTTTGTCCATTTCTGCATATTTCATTATAATGCAAAAAGAGGATTAAAATGAAAAAAAACAAAAAAAAAAACAAACAAAAAAAAAACCTTTCTGTTATATTGTAAGCCAGAGAAAAAAAGAGCAAAAGAATAATAAACTCATGGCTAATCCTGTTTTCACCTATACCAAACTATTACCACCATGATTATTCTGCAGAAATTCCAAGGCACCATAGAATTCCATCACATATATTTCTAAAAATAAGAATTTAGGCCCTGGCCAGCAAGCTGTTAGAGCAATGTCCAAATACACCAAGGTTACTGGTTGGTTCTTCTAGGTAGAAAAACAAATGGATGTTTCTCTTTCTTTAAATATCAATAAATAAAAGTTAAAAATAGCCATAGCTAGTTTGGCTTAGTGGATAGAGCATCAGCTTTCGGACTGAAAGGTCCCGGGTTCGATCCGGTCAAGGGCATATCCCTAGTAAGGGGGCTTGATCCCAGGAGGGGGCATGCAGGAGGCAGCTAATCAGTGATTCTCTCTCATCGATATTTCTGGCTATCTCTCTCCCTTCCTCTCTGTAAAAAAATCAATAAAATATATTAAAAAAAAAAAAAAAAAAAAAAAAAAAAGACACCATGGTACAAAGTAGAAGGTACAGAAAAGTAGGTCTTGCCTAGAATTTCTGAAATTATAATATGTAAATGATTGCTTATCCATTAATAGTAGCACCAAGGAAACAATACAAAAATTCAGTGCTAAGCAACCCAGGTATGTGGTCTTGACAAGGAACAGAATCAACAACTCTTTGGTGCTCAAGTTGACACTAATATCTTGTCACAGTGGCCAAGGCTCACAGTTGTTAATTCAAATGGCCCACTCTGCCCTGCCCTTTTCTCCCTCACCCAGATTCCTCAAGATACCAGTCTGTGAAAGAGAAAGATATTCTCATCACTAGGATTTCTAGGTAAAGATAGAATGCAGCAGGAACAGATTCTCCTCACCCAATTTTTCATACCAAATGAAGTAAAAAGTACAAGAAAAAAATTTATTAGCAGCAACGACACAAAAAAGATAGAACAACCTTATGCTTATAACTCTTTACCAACCAATCCAAACTCCAATCCAATAGTAGCAGTAAAAACAGGATAAACTTTAATCTAGAAAAACAACCCGAGGAAGGTTATTTCATTCAATAAAATTAAGTGTAATACTTTTACTTTTAAAGTATCATAATACCATCTAGAATAGTGTTCACTATTATCACTGGTAATCTCTTGGATGATTATTTTTAAAAATTTTATTTTTACTGATTGATTTCAGAGAGAAACATCAATGATGAGAGAGAATAATTGATCGACTGCCTCCTGCACGCCCCACAGTGGGGATTGAACTTAGAACCCAGGCGTGTGCTGGGACCGGGAATCAACCAGTGACCTATTGGTTCATGGGTCAGTGCTCAACCACTGAGCCAAAGTGGCTGGGCTGAACATTCTTTTCAGTTAGATTACTTGCTTCTGATTCCTTTATAGTACTCAAAATGCATTACAATACAAAAATCTCTACCTGGAAACAACCCAATATCCATTCTCAGTAGAAAAAATACATTTTAGTGTATTTGTACAATAAAACATTATTAAAGTGGAAAGGAATCCTATATAATAAAAGCCTAGATGGCATAAAGCCCTTATGTGACATCACCACAAGATGGCTGTGTGCACAGTGAAGGCGGGGCCCAGTGGCAAAGGAGGCCGGTCCCAGCGGCTCAGCCACCTCCAGGGGGAAGGCGAGTCTCGCATAGAGGAGGCAGGTCCTGGCGGAGGGCAGTTGGGGACGATAAGACCAGCAGGTGACATTGCTAGCAGGGGAGGGCAGTTGAGGGCTATCAGGCCAGCAGGGGAGGGCAGTTGTGGGCAATATGATCGGCAGGGGAGTGAGTGCAGTTAGGGGTGAGCAGGCCTGCAGGGGAGGGCAGTTGGGGGCAATCGGGCCAGCAGGGGAGCAGTCAGGTGTCAATCAGGCTGGCAAGGGAGAGGTTAGGGGGCAATCAGGTTGGCAAGGATAAATAGTTAAGGGTAATCAGGCAGGCAGGCAGGTGAGCGGTTAAGAGCCAGTGGTCCCGGATTGTGAGAAGGATTCCAGATTGGAGAGGTAACAAGCCAGGCTGAGGGACACTCCCCCACCCCAACTCAGTGCATGAACTTCATGTACTGGGCCTCTAGTGTATTATAGTTACACACAACATAAATTAACTTCACAAACATGTTAAATAAAAGAACCCAGTAAAAAATGGATTGTACTGCCCAGCTGGTGTTGCTCAGTGGTTGCGTGTTGACCCATGTGGGGTCAAGGCACATGCCCAGGTTGTGGGGGTTTGATCCCTGGAAGGGGACATGCAGGAGGCGAGGCAGCCAATCAATGTTTTCCTCTCATTGATGTTCCTCTCTCTCTCTATCCCTCTCCCTTGTTTTCTCTCTCTGAAATCAATAAAAAAATATTTTTTTTTTTTAAAGAAAAGATTATCCAAAACCAGTTTGGCTCAGTGGATAGTGTCGACCTGTAGACTGAAGGGTCCCAGGTTCAATTTTGGTCAAGGGCATGTGCCCTTGACACTCCCCAGTGGGGGAGTGTGCAGGAGGCAGCTGATCGATGTTTCTCTTTCATCGTAACTCTCTATCCTTCTCCCTTCTTTTCTGTAAAAAAAAAAATCAATAAATTAAAAAAAAAAAAAAGGATTACATTTATATCACGTTAAAAGTGTCTACCATAAAAATTAGGACAGTAGTTACTTGAGGGGTAAGCAGGAAAGAGAAGACAGTGATGGGGTGAGCCTAAGGGGACTTCTAGGGTGTTGGCAATGAATTTCATAGATATCCTCTTTATGAAAATACTAGAGGCCCTGTGTACAAAACTTGTGCATGGGAAGGGGGTCCTTTTAGCTCGGCCTGCACTCTCTCCAATCTGGGACCCCTGAGTACCTCTGGCTCCTAACCACTCACCTGCCTGCCAGCCTGATCCCTCTAAATGCTCTCCCCTGACAGCCTGTTTGCCCTAACTGCTCTCCCCTGTTGGCCTGGTCCCCCTAACTGCTCTCCCCTGCCTGCCTGATCGCCTCTAACCTCCTCTGCCTTGACCCCGCCAACATGGCTTTGTCAGAAAGGATGTATGGAAGGACATCCGGAAGAACATCTGGAAGATGTTCAGTCTAATTAGCATATTACCCTTTTATTAGTATAGGGTAATTCTCTGTAAATGTTTATCTTTTGTTAATAACCAAAATGTTCAAAAAACACAAAACCAACAACCCAAATCACTGGAACTTATTGGAAAATAACAATCTGAGATGGGTAAGCTATGTGTTTTGCATAGTTCTATTTCCTCAAATAAAAGAAAGAAGGCTTTTAAAAAGCCACTTTGTCTTAGAAGTTTTAAAGAGGACTAACTGGAAATTTCAGGATTCTTGCATGCTGAGTTGGTCCTATAAAAACCTGGAAATAAAAATCAACTGAGATTTTAAATCAGTGTGTCTAAGAAAAGGAACGCTTTTCCTCTTCCCAATCTCAGCAGTTGAAAGATCTAAGTTTGCATTGGACAAAAGGTGGTCCTTCGGGCCCATGTTATCAGTGCAGTCCAATTGCCCTCAGCAGCTCCCTGGTCTCTGAGACCCCGGAGTCATTCTTCCCTTTTCTTGAATAAATTCATATTCCTAGCTGTTGGCTCACTCGCCAAGTTCCTACCTATGGAATGCCAGAAGTCTGACAGCCTTCTTTCATTCTGTACTGTACAGGTCCCTTTCAGTCCAAGCTGGCAGTGTTTTATGCTGAGATGGCTGACTGCATCTATGAAACACACCTAATCTCTTCACCAAAAGGTTCCTCAACCACACTCCTGTCCATGTCTCTAGAATGTGCTATCTGGATGGGCTCAAAATTTTTCAAAGCAAATGTCATTGCTTTTTGCTTACTGTTCCTTCCCCAATTTCTCATTCCTTTTTCATTTTACTATAAGGAACTAGAAGATAGTTAAGCTGCACATTCCACAAGTTGGAAATTTCCTCAACTAAGTATCCAAGTTTATCACTTACAAGCTTTATTTTCCTTCCAACAGGAGAACATAATTCAGCCAGGGCTCCTTCACTTTATAGCGAGAATAGTCTTTCCTCCAGTGCCTAATAATATACTCTCCATTTCCCTCTGACACTTTACCAGAGCCCTAATATCCATATTCCTTGCAATATTCTGTTCATAATGTTATATGTATTCTCTAAAATGATTAAAGCTCTCTCTTCAGCTCTCCTGTCTTTCTGAGCCCTTACCATAATCGTCTTTAATGTCCATCAATCTACCAACAGTCTCTAGGCTTTTTCTATGAAGTGTATGAAAGCCATCCAATCTCTATTCATTATGCAATTCCAAAGCGACTTCCACATTTGTAGATATTTCTTATAGAAGCATTCCACTTCCCAGCAGTAAACCTGTGTTAGATTTCTGTCTGCTGTAATAAAGGACCACAAACTGGGTAATTTAAAAAAATAGAAATTTATTCTCTGTTGTGGAGGCACAAGTCCAAAAATGAAGGTGTCAGCAGGGGCACCCACTTTCTGAAGGCTCTAGCAAAGGATCCTTCCTTGCTTCTTGTGGCTGCCAATTATCCTCGGCCTTCTTTGCCCTGTGGATGCCATCAGTCTCTATTTCTGTTGTTACATAGCACACTCCCCTGTGTCTGTGCTTTCACATGGTACTTTGTGTATCTGTGTCTAAATTTCCCACATCTTATAAGGACATTAATCCATTATGATCTCATCTTAACTTGATCTCATCATTATATCTGTAGATATACTATTTCCAAATAAAGTCATATTCATAAACACTGGGCCTGAGCATATGTTATATCAGGCAGATGCAATTTTACCCACGACACAGGGAAAATTCTAAGGGAGACTACTAGGAAAGAAACAACACAGTCTATGATATTAGTGACTTTTGTGATCTGAACATATGCTACTAAGTTTTTGCTCTTCAGAATTTCTCTTGATGGTGGATAGATGTTACTTTAATCTTGTTTAAGATCTTTCACATAACTTCATCATTAATCATTTTCTAAACAAAACCATCTTTATTTAGAATGAAATAATAACTGGATTTCTACCTTTAGTGCTTCAGTGGCCTTTCGAAGTTCCTTAATAACTGACGATAAAGCTTCTGGATTAATTCCTTGTTCACAAAGCCGTACACAAATAGACAGAGTCTCCATATCTAAGCCAGTATTCAAAATTCTTGAAATCTCGAGCAGAACTGAAAAAGAAAAATTTTAAAACCAAAATCTTACATTTTAAAAATGCACATAATATTTCGCTTTTAATTTGTACACTACTATAAATACCAAAGAACTAGCATGGCGTTCTTACATTTGGAAAAGGACACATAATACTCTCTTACCCTTACTGAGCTCTAGAAATTTCAAAATAAACTTACAACCTCCCACCACACAACTGCTTTTTATTCCACCACCCACTTAATATCCATCTAAAATTTATGCGTCGTTATTCTGAACATTTTCCCACTTTTTATGTTCTTTTACAATGCAATTGAGTCAGTCACATAACATTACATTTTATGGAAACATCAGACATTACTTAACTATTCCATTTTAAGAGTTAGGTAGCTCTCATGTTGTCCCCCATTAAAATAATATGGTGGTAAACATCTGTACATACTAACTTTATTTTATTAGGATAAATTCCTAGAAGCACAGCTGTTCAGTCAGTAATATACATACTTAAGGCTTTAAAAATATTTCACACTTTTCCAATGTGACTAAATATACATCTTTATTGAGCCTAAGAATAAAAAAAAACATGAAAGCTTATGTTTTTAACTTTGTTTTTATAGCACTTTTTAAATTATAGTTTATAAAAGTATCTGTCTTTTACATGACAAACATTATCATAGAAGACCACAAGAAGCAAACACACAGACCACCTTAAATTTCCTTTTTAGGAATTTTTAAGTTAATGGTTAATGTGTTGTCTATTGTTTTCCTATACCATTTTCCCTTGGCATTATGCTTAGATTATATAATTCTTCACTAATATTCTCTTCCAGCACTTGGAAAACTTACCCCCAACTCTCCCACTCCCATAAATATTTAACTCCCTAGAGTTTAGATGGAAAGTAGAATCTCTAACTTTTCCTTCCTAAAAGAAGTCAGTTGCCCAAAACTATTTATTGAACAATCTATTCTTTTATCACTCAATTACAATGTAATCATTATCATAAAGTCCCATATACCTGTGAATTTGTTGCATGTGTAGCTTGTGTTAGAGCCACAATTTTAATTATTAATTTTATACTGCTTGTAGGTTAAAGAAACTTTTGTTACCTCTTATTATCATAAGCCCTTTCATTCTCTCCATGACCTTAAAAATATTGATCAATTCTAAAAACAAATTCCATTTGGATACTGACTTGAATTACATGAAATCTACATATTATTTTGGGATAAATGGACAAGTTAATAATATTAAATCACCTATTATTTAAGTCCTCCTAAAAACTGTTAAGTCTTCCATTCCTCTCCTTAACTTTTGAACACATGGAGTACAGTACTGTCTTTGTCAATTAATCCTAACATCTGTGACAATTTTGGGTATGTTTCAACTGAATTTTTTTCATCGTGAGTTGTATTTTCCTGCTTTGCATACTTAATGATTTTTTTATTGGATGGCAGACATTGTGAATTTTATCTTGTTGGCTGATGGATATTTTTCTATTTCTATATTCTGATTTTTGTAATGGGGTAGTTATCTGGAAAGTTTGACACTTTGGGGTCCTTTCAGATTTATTAGTCAGGACCGGAGCGCTGCTTAAATTTAAGGCTAATTATTCCCCATTGCTGAGGTAAGAGCCACCTGAATACTCTGCCTAGTCTTGTGAACTATGAAGTTTTCCATTTTAGTTAGTAAATATAGGCACTATTCTCAGCCCTGTGTGAGCATGGTATATTGTTCCCTCTATTTCTTTTGATTGGTTCTTGCCTCAGCTTTTGGGGTAGTTTCCCTGCATACATGTGCTATTCAGTGCTCTGCTGAATATTTGAGGGAGACCTTCTGTAGACCTCCAGAATTCTCTCTGGGTGCAACTTTTCTCATAGGCACTCTGTCCTGTAAGCTCTCCTTTTGGTGGTCTCCCTGGACTCGAAGCACCTTCTGCTAAATTCAGGATGTCCACTGGGTTCCATCTGCGTTGCTGCCTGAACCTCACTGCATTGTGGTATGGAAACTTCTCTGAAGGCAGGAAGCTGAGTAAACTATCTGGCTCACTTCACTTGTTTCCCGTCTCTCTGGAGTCACTGCCTTTGCTGTCTGATATCTAGTGAAATGAAAATCATTATTCTGCATGCTTTGCCTGGGTATTTTGTTTTTTTCAGGTAGGAGAGTTTAGTCCCTGTTATTTCATCTTGACTGAAAGCTGACAGCCCCTTTCCACTTTCATTTCTCTAATTTTGATATTCCAACATACTAATACTTTGCTCTTCAGTTGAATTCAGGCTGTTGTCTATGCTATCTGCTTAACTTAATGTTAGTAACTATTTTAAGATTTCTAATTTTCCACCATAATTACTTCTTGTTCCATAACTTACTGCTTATTTATTAACAGTTTTTATTTTATGTTGTTTCTGCTCTTATCAATTTAAGGTTATATTTTTTTGGTAAACCATTCTTGAGATTTCCTTTTCTTTGAATACTAGAGGCCTGCTGCATGAAATTCGTGCATGGGGTAGGGGAAGATGCATGTGCCTCAGCCCAGCCTGCACCCTCTCCAATCTGGGACCCCACTGAGCCTAAACAGGCAGTTGGACATCCCTCTCACAATCCAAGACTACTGGTTCCCAACTGCTCGCCTGCCTGCCTAATTGCCCCTAACTGCTTCTGTCTGCCAGCCTACTAACTCCCTAACTACGCCCCCCAGCCTGATTGGTGACTCTCTGCCCTCCCCTGTTGGCCTGGTCCTGCCCAATTGTCCTCCTCTGCTGGCCCAGTCACCCCTAACTGCCCTCCCCTGCCGGCCTGGTCGCCCCCAACTGCCCTCCCTTGCAGGCCTGGACACCTCTAACTGCTCTCCCCTGCACCATCACACACTTCAAAACCAGTTAAAAACACGTTAAAAGATCTTGCCTGGGAAGTATTAACCCATCTGTCATATTCACTAGACCTTGCTCCTTCAGATTACCAATCTTTCAATCGATGACACACGCACTTTTGAAGTAGCACTTCAAAACATACAAAGAAATGAAAAATTGGGTCTCTGAATGGTTTGCCCCAAAACAAGTTCTATTGGGACGGTATCCACAAATTACCGGAAAGGTAGGGGAAAATGTGTAGCTAACGATGGACATTACTTTGAATAAAGTACTTTTGATGTTTCTCTTGAAATAATTGTGTTTTTTTATTACAAAATCTGCATTATTAACTGGTAAAACTAGCAGGTACTTCCAATTTTATTTAGAATGCATTTTAAGTGCAAACTTTTGATGTTTCTCTTGAAATAATTGTGTTTTTTTAATTACAAAATCTGCTTTATTAACCGGTAATACTAGCAGGTACTTCCAATTTTATTTAGAATGCATTTTAAGTGCAAACTTTTGATGTTTCTCTTGAAATAATTGTGTTTTTTTTATTACAAAATCTGCTTTATTAACCGGTAATACTAGCAGGTACTTCCAATTTTATTTAGAATGCATTTAACTAACACTAATGTTAAGGATGATGTTGGTTTCATATAGCTATCCTTTAGTGTGTTACAAATGTACTTTTTGCTAAGACTTTAAAATCATGAAAAAAAGGTTGGTATTATCAATACCTTTTCATCAGCCATTCAATGAGGAAGTGGATTTTCTTCTTTGACTTAGTGAGGTAATATATTATATTGACAAACTATATTCATAACTGAAGAACACTGAGCTTGGAAAAACCCTAGTTTTACAATAAGTAGGTTAGCAAGCCTGCTCTTTATCTACATGTTATCTCAGCCCTCACTGTTACTCACTGTAAACACCAACCTGAGAAACTAGAGGAAAGAGCAGCCAGGGTTTTGTACTCTTGGCATACAGAGCAAGAATGTGTAGGTATGCTCAAGGCTCCTGAAGACTGCATCTCCCAATAGTGTCACTGCATGACTTCTGATGATAGGTTTAAAAATGCAACATAGCTTCCTCCTCGCTCTCTCGAGACACTCTCCCTGAGAATCCAGCCACCGAATGTGAGAAAATCCACGTTCCAGACAACAGCTCTGTTGACAGCCCAGCTACCAGTCTACATCAACTAGTAATCATGTGAGTAAGGAAGCACTGAGATGACTCCAGACTCAGTACTATCCAACTGCAATGCATGAGACACCCTCAGTGCAACTATCTACATTAGCGGTCGCCAACCTTTCAGACCTCACAGACCACTAGTGGTACACAGACCACCAGTTGCCGACAGCTGCTCAAAGGTTACCTTAGACCAGTGGTTGCCAACCTTTTGGACCTCATGGACCACCTGTGGGCTGCAAGGCTGCGGTGAGCACAGGAGCAGGTCTCAGCTCCTCCCGCTGCGACCCCTAGTTCCCTGTCTGCCAGCAGCCCTGCTCCCACCACTGCTGCTCCCATGTGCTATGCACACAAGCCCCAATTGCACCCACTGACAGCATAGTGATTGGAGCCGGCACCAGCAGTGGGTGAGAGTGGCAGCTGCTGCCCCGATAGCTCCTCAGGAGAAGGGGGAGGTGGAGAAGCCTTCAGGGACGATCGGGGCCAGTAGCTGTCACTTGCACCTGCTGACAGCATCAAGTGATGGGAGCTGGTACCAGCAGCAGGTGCAAGCACCTGGAGGGACCACAGTGCAGTGCGCAGGAGCAAAGAATTTTCAGTAACCACCAGAAGTTCACCAGAGTGCTATCTTGGTCTGGCGTCCCCATTCACTGCTCCACCACCCCACCACAGCCTATGCCTGCCATGTTCCACATGCGCACCCTGGTGGTCAGCACACATCATAGCGACCAGTTTTTCGGTTGTTCCGCCATTTGGTTTATTTACATATTAGCCTTTTATTATATAGGATGCTATAGTTATTCCCAACTTCATACCTTTGTGCTTTTCACCTCTGCCTTTTCTCTTCCCTCCATATAATTCTACTTCAGTATCTGCATTTCTTTCTTTAAGCTTTCTTGATCTTTACTTCCTAACTTTACAAACTGTCTCTAATTACTAAGTATTTCTGTAGTGCCCACTGTGTAACTAGTACCTATAAGTATTGTGTCTACCATGCTACTGCTGAAAATGTAGTTGTGAACAACACAGATATACTCCTTATTCTCATGAACATTACAATCTAAGAGAATAGACAGGTATTAAAATAGCTGCTTCCAGTTATGATAAAGAAAATACCATACTTCGAAAATAAGTTACATGGGCAATTTACCTAGTTTTGAAGGAAAAAGACTTGTCTGAGGAAGTGACAAGCTTTAAAAAGGTAAAAAGAAATCCACTTAACTAATGCAAAGGCAGAAGGAAAGGCAAAGACTAGGGACCAAGAAACAGCTTGCAATGGGGAGAATTTGATAAATTTAAAATGATGAGAAAGGCTCATGCAAATGCAATGTAATTAAAGGAGATAAATGGCTGTAAAATATGAGACAAGGCAGACATGAAAATCTACTAAGGCCCAATTGAAGATTTTAGAACTTTGGGAAGCCATTAGAAATTATAAAATGGAAGCATGACAAGATCAGATTTCCATTTTTAAAAGACTTTTTGCTGCATAATACTGAGAAAGAGTCTAGCTAAGTTACTACAATTTTGGTGAAAAACAAAAGACAAAAACCTTTGTAAGGTGTCTTTATCAAAGTCCTTTCATTTTACAATAAAGTTACAAATATTTATAGCTTAGTAATACAATCCTTGTAAACCACTAACAGCCATTAAAAATTAAATCTCTTTTTCTGATCCTAGCCCTGACTTAGTATAAGGTCTATTGCCCATCAGTAGATGAATGGACTAAAAAACTGTGGTATCTATATATATAAAAGCCTAAGCCACCGCCAACTGTCTGATGGTTATGACATGCAATGACCACTGGGGGCAGATGCTGGCCCCTGGTGGTCAGTGTGCTCCCACACGGAAGTGCCACTCAGCCAGAAACTAGGCTCTTGGCTGGTGAGTGCAGCTGGGGAGGCAGGAGCCTCTCCTGCCTCTGTGGCAGCACAACCAGGCGGCAGCGACAGGCGCAGCGGGGCCAGGATGAAACTGGTCCCGGCTGGGGCTCCTCCCTGATGCCTGCTGCTTCAGCTTTGTGACATCCTGCAGCCTGCAGGGATCAGGCCAAAACCTAACAGTCCAACATTCCCACAAGGGATTCTGGACTGCGAGAAGGCACAGGCCAGGCTAAGGGACCCCACCAGTGCACAAATCCGTGCACTGGGCCTCTAGTGTTTACATAATGGAATACTATGCAGCTGTAAAAAAGGATTTCTTACCCTTTGAGACAGCATGAGAACTTGGAGAGTATTATGCTAAGTGAAATAAGCCAGTCAGAGAAAGACAAGTATCACATGATCTCACTTATATGTGGAATCCAAAGAACAATATAAACCGATGAATAACAGAAAAGATTCAGAGGGAAGAGGGGGGGGATTAACTAATGAATTTATATGTATATACATATAGCCCATGGACAGAAAATAGTGTGGAGAAGGCCTGGGGAGGGGATGGGAACAGGGGGTAGGTGGTCCCTGGGGGAAGGGACATCTGTAATACTTTCAACAATAAAGACAGATTAAAAAAATTAAATCACTGTTAGCTAATACTGATGGGAGGGAAGGAGTAATACAATGAGAAGAACTACTACATCTTGAAGGAGGGTAGTCAGATTCCAAAAGTTTTGACCACTTCAGTTTGGCTCTCATGGATAGATTTAAATATAAGTGAAATCTCATATTACCAGAATTACAAATATAATGATGTTTGAGTAAGTCAGCCCAGCCTCTCGGGCAAACTAATTTTATTTCTGAAAATGTGAGCAAAAGGCAAGATTATAAAATTACTGCATTTAGGACTTTTTCAGTTCACTGTATGGCCAATTACAGTATAAGTATCAATATGCTTTCCTTTGTACCTGTGCACAAATCTATGCATTGGGTCTCTAGACAACATGGAAAATATCTATGGAAAATATGCCAAGTTTTACAGTGACCACAATAATTCAACTTCACATATTTTGGAACTGATTGTCATAGACCCACTTATGGCACAATAGCAGGGATTTTATGTAAGTTTAAAGTTCTATGGATAAGACAGTATCTTTCACCTTTAAAAAAAAAACATACTAAAATACAGTGGTATTATTTTAGAGAGATAGGAACAGAATAGATAGAAACATCTATGAGAGAGAAACATCAATTGGCTGCCTCCTGCATGCTCCCCACTGAGCATCGAGCCAGAAACCGGGGCATAAGCCCTGCCTGGGAATGGAACTGGTGACCTCTTGGATAATACCGGTAGGTCCATGCTCAACCACTGAGGCACACTGGCCGGGCAGTGTCTGTCACATTTAGCCATGTTCATCCACTGCCAGCCTGGGACCTTTTTTTCTATCTTTTGGTTTGTGGACAAACCATGTGTAGAGAGAGGAGCAGTATTCTCTAATCCACCTCTTCTCTCCTCCAATTTTTCTTTTTAATCTGGTTTTTCTTCGTTTTTTCATGTTCTTCCATTTTCTATAATCTTAATTTTACATGAAGTTTTCCCAGTAAAAATTCTGATGTAAACAATGCAAACTATTAGTTCTCATTTTCACATAAGTTCCCCCAGAGATAAAATGAGAGTATTCTATTCAAGTGAGATCCTATGTTCTTATAGTGAAGGAACCAAATCACTGCTAAAATAAGAGAATTCACTAGAAGTGAGGCTTCATTGTCTCCAACCTGTTCAAAAAACACATTGGCTTTCAAGCAAAGATATTATGATGTCAGATACATGAAGTTGCTATGTACATAAATCCACTTACAAAATAAAGGGTATAAGCTGTGACTCAAGGAGGATGAAAAAATTGGATGACTATGGTGTTAAGAACAAAATTCTACTTTTCAGAAAAACAGAAAGGCAGATATTTTGTAAATAAAACCTTTAGATGAAAAGGCTCTAAAAATATAGGTAATTCTTTGAAAAGGAAAGCAGCAGCTGGTGCAGTAAAAGCCAAAAGTCTTATTGCAAGGAGCTAGAGACTGGCATTCAGGCAGACACTGTTTAGTAACAATCCCATGAGGTTATGTTTCCAGAGATGTGAGTATCCCCTGGAAAATTCAAAAAGCAATGTTTAACTCCCATCACACATTCATATTGGTGAAAGCAAATAATATGGAGACAAAGACGTTTCCAAGTGGGATGACCTCTTCTAAAACACAAAAATGATACAGAGTCAGGACACTTATCTCTGCACGTCAATGAATACAGCAACAAATAAAGAGAACAAAATATGATTATAGCAACAGATGCCAAAAATCATTTGAGCAAATAATACTAATGACATTTCTAAGGGGGGAAAAATAACAGAAATGAAAGCTAAAAAAAAAAAAAAAAAAAAAAAAAAAAATATATATATATATATATATATATATATATATATATATATATATATATATATAGAGTATCTTTCAACGATCACCTTTACATGGTTATCTTAAATACTCCCATTACAACCCTATGACCGTGGTAGGCAAACTGCGGCTCGCGAGCCACATGCAGCTCTTTGGCCCCTTGCGTGTGGCTTTTTCACAAAATACCCCGGCCTGAGCGAGTCTATTTAGAAGAAGTGGCGTTAGAAGAAGTTTAAGTTAACAGAAAAAAATGGGCTCTCAAAAGAAATGTCAATCCACACACTGTTGATATTTGGCTCTGTTGACTAATGAGTTGGCGGACCACTGCCCTAGTTCCGAGGTAACCCCATTTTACAGAAAAGCAGCAGCAGCAGCAGCAGAAAGCAGTTTGGCTCAGGGGATAGCGTCAGCCTGCGGACTGAAGGGCCCCAGTGGGACTCCGGTCAAGGGCATGTGCCTTGGCTGCGGGCACATCCCCAGTGGGGGGTGTGCAGGAGGCAGCTGGTCGATGTATGTTTCTAACTCTCTATCCCTCTCACTTCCTCTCTGTAAAAAAAAAAAAATCCATAAAATATATATTAAAAAAAAAAGAAGAAGAAGAAGCAGGCTCAAAGGCAGCGGGTCCAAGCTCACCGCGGGAGCGGGAAGCGGTGGGGCCCGCATTTGAGGGGAGAATTAACGCTCCGCGCGTGGCTCTGACCCGGTGGGCGCGGGAAAGACCGGGGACGGGGACCGGCGCGGGGGAAAAGGGCCCGCGGCCCGGGCGGAGGGGGCGCGGCGCGGGGGCGGCCGGGGGCGCACCGGGGCCCGCGCGGCAGGATCCCCGCGCGCGTCGCACGGACGCCGCGCCCGCGCCCGCGCCCAACTCCGCCGGGCGAAGGCGGCTCCCGGGGGTGGGGCCCTCCGCCCGGCGGCCCCGGCGGCGCCCCGGGGAGGCCCTCCGAGGATGCCGCGGGGCGCGGGGAGTGGACCGAAAGGCCTCCCGGGCTCACCCCCGCCCGCGGGCGCGGGCTTTGGGGGACGGAAGCGAGGTAAACGGGGCTGAAACGGGCACTCACCGTCCATGGTCTCCCTCACCGCATTCAGATTCGCCGTCGCCGCCGCCGCCGCGGCCCCGGTGCCGCTGCTGCTCGCCATGGCGGAGGCCGAGGGAGGCGGCGGGGGGTGGGTGGAAAAGGAGAGGGGTCGGGTCTGACCCGGAAGTGGAGCACCTTCCTTTCTGCCGGGCAATCGCGCCGCGCGTCCCCCGCTCCCGCCGGCGGCTCCGCCCCCCGCGCCCGCCGCCGCCGCCGCCGCCGGCGTGAGGCCGAGCGGATTTGAATTTGGAGCGTCGTTACTCGGCGCGGAACGTGGAGCGTGGAGCAGCGATTCGAATTCACTGCGCCGCCTCGACGCGATTGGCCGGTTCGCGGGCAGCGGCGCGACGCGATTGGCCGGCCGCCCGCAAGCCCCGCGCCTGGTTGGCCTGTGACAGCGCGGAGACGGGGAGTTAAAGAGTCCGTGCCTGTTGCGGGGAGCAGAGGCCTGGCCCTCGGCAGCGCTGGAGTCGCCTTCGGGGGGGCTTCCTCGTTACACACTCCGTTAGGTACGTGCTCGGCGGCGCCTGGCTCCTCTCCTTTCCCCGCCCGGGGAGCTCGCTGTGCCCGGCGGCGGCCCCGCCCGCCCGCCCGCTCTGCCCCCGGGGGCAATGCGAGCGGCGAGGGGAGTCTGAATGGAGGGACACCCAGGAAGGAAGGCGGCGCGGCGTGGAGGTGACAGGAGTGAGTGCCCGCTCTGCTCGTCACCCGAGAAGCCAGCTGCGCCTCAGCCTTCCAAGGAGTGGGCTCCTCTTTCCCTCTCTGTGGCTCTCTTTGCCTGGCCCCGGAGGAATGCAGTCTCCCGTCTCCTACCCCGGGGCTCTTGGCGGAAGGAGGGCGAGGGGACCCCCGAGGCGGTCAGCTTCCTGTCCCTCCTCAGTCCTGCTCCTCTGGCGGCGCTAATTTTTTGCCAGAAAGGCACACCTGCACAAGCTCTGTCGCCTCTTGCTTGCTGTAAATAATTATTGTTTAGTCACGGCAGCTTCATGGGGGGGCGGGGGGGGGATGGCTGGGGTATCCGAAAGATGGTCAGCGGGTTTGGAGACCCGATTATAATGGTATAAGGCCTCTTAGGATAGGTGTAAGGTCTCCAGTTGGGAGGAGTTTTGTGCCCGTTGATAATACCTGAAAGCAGACCTGAACTCACTCACGTTTGGTTAACTGTTCCTTAGATGCCATTTAAATTTTTCTCTGAGCTTTAGTTCCATAAAAATGATATTACTAATATCCTACCTATCTGGTTTTCAAGGTTATTTATCGGGAGGGTCACTTGAGAAAATGTATGTGCTGCTTTTTGGTGAACTCTATAGACTGGCTCGAACAGCATCAGGTGTTCAGTTAATTGTGAGAACTGTTTGTGGAATACGTTTTAATGATCAAAATGAGTGTCTGTGGAACTCTGCAGTTCTATTGTGTGTACTTCTGATTTCTTTTTAGTTTCCTTCTCTGTGCTATGGGAGATGTCAAAGAACCAAAAATGCAAATAACTCCAGAAACTCCAGGAAGGATCCCTATTTTAAATCCTTTTGAAAGTCCTGGTGATTATTGTAACCTCCATGAACAAACTGTCTCCAGTCCTGTTTTTAAATCAACTAAATTACCAGTAAGTTATTCTTGACTAGTGTTCACAAATAATTTTACTTACTTATTTAAAAATACATCTTTATTGATTTCAGAGAGGAAAGGAGAGGGGAGAGAGATAGAAACATTGATGATGAGAGAAAATCATTGATCTGCTGCATGCCCCCCACTGGGGATGGAGCCTGCAGCCCAGGTCCTGAATAGAACCCAGGACCTTTCAGTCTGCAGTCTGATGCTCTATCCACTGAGCCAAACCGGCTAGGGCTACAACTAATTTTAAACAAAAATATCTCTCTTCACAAAGTAAGGGGAAATTTACCATGGAGCATATATAACTGGGAATGTACTTTTTAAATTGTAACATTCATCATAATCTAGTGTTTGAACTAAAAATAACTTAGCTAGGAGTTTCTAAAGTTATCATTTCTCTCTCTTTAAAAAAAAAAATAAACGACATGTTAGCTTTTGTGCTATCTATAATTAGTAATATATAAATATAGATATCATATTTGAGAAGAAGCTGTGAATTATCCACTCTCCTCTATTCAGCAAACATTATTTGAAGGCTGCTATGTGTCAGATACAGTGCTAGGCATAGAGATTACACTGCAAACAAGTCAGGGTCATTAGACACAAACTCCAAAGGAAATATACTCTAATTCAGGGGTCAGCAAACTTTTTCCTAAAACAGTAAATATTTTGGCTTTGCTGATCATCTGGTAATTGTAACAACTACTCACCTATGCCATGTATGACAAAAGTGGTCATAGGCAATATATAAACATATAAACAATAAACCTTTATTTTTGGGCACTGAAACTTGAATTTCATGTAATTTCCATCTAATACTAATATTATTTGGGGGTTTTGTCAACCATTTCATAGCTTGCAGATTCTATTATGGGATAGACACAACTAAAATAGCAACTTAAAAAGAATATATGTGCTGACTATGGTTAAGCACAAGGGTGATATGGAAGGAAATGTGCTCTTCACGGGATTAAGGAATGCTTAATCACTTTAGCTTATTTTACTGTTACTGGCTATTCTGGAGCACTTCTTTTGAAGTCTGATCTTCAAACCTAATAAATTATCTAGAAAACTGCAGATTATGTGGCTGTTTATGCTACTTGTTCATATCAGCTTGAAGCAGGTATGCAGAGGGAAGTTTTATTTATACAGTATATATTGATTCATTACTCTGACTGCATCTTAATTGAATCATACCCGGGGCACAAAATTCGTGCGGGGGAAGGGGGGAAGATTCAATTCAATTCAGCCCAGCCTGCACCCTCTCCAATCTGGGACCCCTTATTCATATTAAATATTAATTATCTGTTAGTCTTAATAAAAATAATGGAATGACTGCAACTTCATCCTAAAAGCCAGACTGTATGGTATCAGGGTTTTTAAGCCTGAATTTGTCACAAATATATTCTAATTACAGTTTAGTCCCTAGCTAGATCATCCCAATATGCCAATGTAGCAGGTTCAAGCCCCAGTCAGGGCACATACAAGAACCAACCAATGAATAAGTGTTTGGTTTAATTAGATAGTTGGATATAGAAAGAAGCACTGGTTACCATTCATAATCATTTTATGGATCAACTATTTAATAAGCTTTTGCAGGCACTTCTATGGTTAGGACTTTAATTTCAATTCATTCTTATTGAAAGTAAAGATCATAGGTAACTAAGATTTTTACTTTTATTTGGACATCACTGATGAGTGCTAATTGTACATTTTCTATATCTGTAATATTCTACGAATTTCCTATTATTATGTAATTTTACAAAACACCCAGAGGGCCGAAACCAGTTTGGCTTAGTGGTAGAGCGTCGGTCTGCGGACTGAAAGATCCCAGGTTCTATTCCGGTCAAGGACATGTACATTGGTTGCGGGCACATATCCCCGGTAGGGGGTGTGCAAGAGGCAGTGGACGATGTTTCTTTCTCATCGACGTTTCTAACTCTCCCTCTCCCTTTCTCTCTGTAAAAAATCAATTAAAAAAAAAAAAAAAAAAACACCCAGAGGGAAAATTTGATATTTTAAAAGGGATACAATCAAGTCAATATTTAGTGTGATTTGATTACCACTTGTCATTTAATTTAGTGATAAACTCATTTAAAAATATGAGGTGATGGAAAAAAATAAATGGAAAATACATAAATACAGTAAATATAAAGTATAAGATATTTTTATATTATAACCATTCTCATTTTTGAAGTTGACATTGGTTAGCATTTCGATGCACTATTTTAGTTTGTTTTTATTCATATTCTCACTTTCTTTTATTAAGACTCCAGGGAAATTTAGATGGTCTATTGATCAACTAGCTGTAATAAATCCTGTAGAAATAGACCCAGAAGACATTCATCGTCAAGCTTTGTATTTAAGTCATTCTCGGTAAGTTTTCCTTCTTGCACTGAAGTGTAATAACATACTCTCACATGAAAAGAGAAGGAAATTTTGAAGTTGAACTACATCCAGAATGATTCTCCTTCAAACAATTCAAATCTAGGTAGGAGACCTTTTCTTTTAGAAGTAAACTTCTCTCTCTGCCACTTAGGAGACACTCAGCACCTGGAAGAGGGAAGGGCATTTTTACATGATTGTAGCTTTTGCCATTGAATTGTTGCTTTGTTGTTTTGGTGGTATAGGGTAAAGCACATTGCTGTTTCATTGCCCATGCATTTAGAGAAGCTTTACCAAGTTAAGACACATTAACTGGACTGGAAAAGTATCTTTTAGCAACAGAGAGAGCTTTTATAGACATCATCCAACTTTGACATAGGATATTTGGGGATCTGAATTACATTGTCTTGGATTCAATCAGAGGAGCCTTAACTTCTTTGTTGATATATTGTGTAGGTTTCCAAGCACTAGTGTTCCTCTGACTTGAGATGCTTAACTATGCCTCATGTAATGAGAACATGCACTTTGGTAGAACAGACCTAGTTTTAATTACAAATTAGAGGCCCAGTGCATGAATTTGTGCATAGTTGGGGCCCATAGGCCTGCCTTGATGAAGCCTCAACTGGCTAAGCCAGTGGTGGGAAGGGGATTTTGAGCGCTGATTGGGGCCTGTATCAGGCTGGTTGGCTGCCACAGTGCATGTCATAGCCTCTGGTCATTCTGGTTGTTCCTCCATTCCAGGCACTGGGCTTTTAAATATATAGATTGCAATGATCTGTAATTACAAATGATAGATAACAGTTTCATTAAGAGTTTAAGAGACTGTTGTCAGTTTCATAGTCTAATTTTTTTATTTTTTTTTTTTGAATACTAGTATGACCAGCTTTTAATTTGTGGTCCTAAGATTCATGTGGTGTTAGTCCAAAATAATAGCTAATTCTTTTCCTGTTAAAATTCACTCACTCAAAGATGTACACTTACTGAGATACTCTTGCAAATATTTTTCTTAGCTTGGTAACTTGCTGACCATTAATTCTTAATTATGTCCGTCTAAAGTGTTGTAGAAAGGAATAGAATGGGGAATGAGCATAAAAGAATTTTAACTTAAATCTAAATACCTTTGAAAGAGGTGAAAAGACTATCTAAAAGCAAGTCATTCACAAATAATACTGATTTTTTATTTCACACAAACTGTATGCTTTGTTTTGCCTCTTTATATATGCATAGAAGATATATACATGGAAAAGTGTAATCTCTCAAGAGATATTTATTGAGCACTGAGGCACTGTGAGGAACACTGAAGAAGTATAGTATATTATTCCTGCCTTCTAGAGTTAATAATACTGTTAACCAAAGTTGTGATACAACATTTCTATACTAACTAATTAATGATGCATTGTATGGGTAGGTTTATGAATCTTCATGTATAGCAATAGCTATAGAATAAGAGTAAAGAGTGAGAAAACACCCTAATTTTAATTTTAATTTAACCTACTAATGTATGTTATTTATGGCTCCCAGCACATTTAGTGAGTATACTTTTAAAACAGGCTGATTCATTCTTAGCAATGACTTTCAGTGTTTTTCTCTAATTCAAGTTCCCTAATGCTGTGCTCCCCACCCTTTTCATGCCTTGCTACACATAAAAATTACTGTATGACATACTAATGTAAACAAGTGAGTCTGTCCATACAGCAGGTAATCAGTTCTGAATTCCTTTTCCTCCTCCAAGAATCCATTCAGGGCATACCTATAACCTATATGCCTCATGCCAGTGTTCTGTACTCTCTATACTTGTTACAGCCTTCCTTGATCTGGCCCTACAATATTTAGCCAGACTAATATTCCGCTTCTAGCAGTTACCTGAATATTTCAGGTCCTTAAAGTCCCTCTAATGAAACAGCAAAAGGTTTCTGAAAGACCTATGCTAGATCAGGGCTTACTAATACTATGTGCTATTATGTACTGTCATTTTGACCTGGTTATATTCATGATGGAATTGAGTTATCCTCAAAATGGCTGTTGTTCAAGCTGGGATATGAGGATTATCATTGAAGTCTTTTTTATGACTCCTTTATTTAAAAATCCACTTGATTTTAGTTTCTAAAATGTGTACATTATTACATAAGCTTTGTTAAGCCACACACATATATATATGAAAAAAATTGAGAGATAAAAGTGACTTACTAATTTATCGATGGAAAGCAAATATTCTTTCCTAGAACAGATTAAAGAAGTGGTCCTACAAGGCGAACTGCTGAGTCCTTTGGCAAGTATGTGTCTTGTGCTTGAGACCAGACATTTTTTTATTATATCTCAGCTGATAAATTTGTGTTACTGTAATTGCATATTGCATCAAAGTGAAAAAATTCATTTGGACAAAATTTTTTGTTGATATTTTATTTCATTTTTAATACTTTTGCCTATTCAGCTGACTATTCAGCTAAGAGTGGTAATTTCTATTTCAGAATAAGAGTTGATTCTAAAATTATGACTATGATAAACTTGCTCTAATTGAAGAAAATGTTTGGACACTTTATATTTCTATGGAATGAAATACTTAATATGTTGTGATTAAAATATAAAGTTTATTCATTTTCCATTATGTTGTTAATTGCAACTTTTGTAAAGTATTATCAACATAAGCCTCCTTAAAAAAATGTTCAAACTGTGAATGTAATAGAGGGAGCTAAACCTAACATTGCAATGAATATATAAATAATATCAACTAAATGTGATATGATTCCAATTTTTCTTTTAAAATGAGCTTATCATTTGCCAATTTTTAAGAGAAATAAGTTATTTCTTTTAAAGGTTATTATTTTAAATGTTCATTCAGCTAAAGTAATGGCCTGGTTATTTTTCTTCTTTATCTTTGTATAGAATAGATAAAGATGTGGAAGACAAAAGACAAAAAGCCATTGAAGAGGTAACTTAAACTGTTACTGATCATTAAAGCAGTTAAGCATCAATTTCCCATGCATGTCACCTGTTTTAGGAAGACTTCCTTCAAATCCTTACTGTCTCAGCGGCACACCAAGCTGCCCATCCCCAGCTGTATTAGTGCCCTCTGTTCTCCCTCAGACCAATGTTTTTCAGCTATTTCAACACCTCATACTTCCTATGCTATGGTGATGGTTGATTTAGTGCCTTTATCCACTAGAGTGAATTCTTTTTTGCCTTAGCTTATGCTTCATTCATCTTTTCATTCTTAGGGTATAGCAAAGTTTGTGCCTTCAGAATATTGAGTAGCACAAATGTCTGTTTCAAGTTGGAGTTTATCTAGAGGAAGTTTTAGGCCTTGAAAACCTGGGTTGGCATTGGTTTTATTTTTGTTGTTAACACTTGGATTTTTAAGGCAATATATTTAATGAAGTAAAATGCCTTACTGATAAGTAGAAAAGGTGTTTTACAAATAGAGTATTTTAAAATAAAAATAATGAGTTTTTCACTTTTGCTTGTTAACTAAAATTTTTTAGAGTGCAAGTAAGGGCTATTTATCTAGTTATTTCCTCAAAGTCTTTATATTATAGCAACTTCTCTTATTTTCCTTTTCCCCTCGCTAGCCTCCTCTACCCACCTCTATTCCTTGGCTCTACTCGGCTCTTCTGTACCCTAGAAGACTTCAGCTATGGTCTGTTCAGAGATCAGGCCCCTCCTGCATTTATTTTTGCAGTGAACAGTGTTGTCATCTTGTATTTTTAGATATAGCCTGTTTATTAAAAATTTAGAGGCCTAGAGCATGAAATTCATGCAGAGAGGGAGGGGGCGGGGGAGGTGCCCCTAAGCTCAGCCTGTACCCTCTTTAATTGGGACTCTTTAAGGGATGTCTGACTGCCTGTTGGACATCCCTCTCATAATCCAAGACTGCTGGCTCCCAACTGCTTGCCTGCCTCTGCTTGATTGTCCCTAACCATTTCTGCCTGCCAGCCTGATCACCCCCTAACCATTCCCATACCAGCCTGGTCAATACCTAACTGCTCCCCAGCCGGCCCGATTGCCTCTAACTGCCCTCCCCTGCCACTCTGGTTGCTACTAACTCTCCTCCCCTACAAAGCTGGTCTTCCCCAACTGCTCTCCTCTGCTGGCCTGGTCACCCCTAACTGCATCCCTGCTGGCCTGTTTGCATACAACTGCCCTCCCCTGTAGGCCTGGTCCCCACAACTGTCCCCTGCAGACCTGGATCCCCCCTCCCCGCAACTGCCCTCCCTTGCTGGCCTGGTCACCCCTAACTGCCCACAATTGCCCTCCCCTACAGGCCATTATGTGGCAGCCATCTTTGACCATATGGGAGTGGCCATCTTGTGTCTTGGAGTGACGGTCAATTTGCACATTACTCTTTTACTAGAGGCCTGGTGCACAAAATTTGTGCACGGGGGCGGGGGAGGGAGGGCGTGTCACTCAGCCCAGCCTGTACCCTTTCCAATCTGGGATCCCTCTCACTATCCGGGACTGCTGGCTCCCAACTGCTCACCTGCCTGCCTTCCTGATTTCCCCTAACCGCTTCTGCCTACCAGCCTGATCACCGCCTAACCAATTCCCTGCCAGCCTGATTGATGTCTAACTGCTCCACTGCCAACCTGTTTGCCCCTAACTGCCCTTCCCTGCAGGCCAGAGACTCTCCACAGCCCAGAGTCCTATCCATGGCCAGGTGCAGAATGACAAGCATTTTCCCTCACCCCGGCCACGTCGTGCCCTCTGCCCAGAGGCTCTTCGTGCCGGGGTGGAACGCTTGCTTTGTCACCACAGCGACGAAGTAAGCATTTCGCCAGGCTGCTCACGCTGCTCTCTCAGTGACTGCCCCCCTGGGACTGAGGGACTCCAGCAGGGCTGAGAGGACTGGGCACTGCCATCTTGTGGCTATGGGTGCTGCCATCTTTGTGATGGAGTGATGGTTATTTTACATATTACCCTTTTATTAGATAGGATAATTGCACATGCTTTACTCCAAACAATATCTACTTTGTAATCTACCTAGTAATTCAAAATTTTCATTCTGATCCAATCCCTTGATTTCTCCTTAGTTGAATATTCTCAGACTCTTTCCCATTTTTCAATATTTTGGAAAATATGCATTCTTTTTAAAACCCTCAACTTTAAGAGGAAATTCATCAGAAGACTTAAGAAAATAAAGTTATAGTAAAGATTAGGGTCAATGTATCAAACAGCTTAAATTTTTCATATATATATATATATATATATATAGACATATTTGAAATAGAATAAATACATATTGTAAAATAAATAAATAAATAAAGTTCAGACTGCAAGTAAAATATACTGGATGAAAACCGGGTTTTTATCCCACCTCCTAAAAGTAACTACTGGAACATTTATACTTATACATTAATTTTAGTATGCAATAGATTGTTGTCATTAAGTATTTTGCACATATAGGATCATCCTTATATTTTTTGCATCTTAAGTAGTTTAGCAAACTTGGTCTTTTTTATAGATATAGCAAAATACAAAGAGTTGCTGCAAAAACATAGAAGAAAAGAAAGAATACAGTATTAGGCTTAATTTTATTTCTAGAATGAAAAAGGAAAGACATATATCCAAATACTCTAGCTCCCGTTAATTATACTAACTAGTGAAGTGCTGGTGTAACAACTGGCCATTTGGATATGGGAAGAGTATGAGTTTTAGTTTTTGCTGTTATTATGATGTAAATATTCCAACTGCGGCCAATTTTAAAGTTACTAACGTTATATCACTGAATGGGAAAAGAATTGCAATGATATACCATTATATGTAGGCGTTCCACCAGTCAGATTAAAAAAACATAACCTTGGACATAGATTTTGGTAATGTAGTAAAATAGTTAGCAAGTGATGATTTTGTGTATTTATTATCTTTACCTTTAATATAATTTATTTTATATAATTTATGAATTTATACAATTTTTAAAATTTGGTAATATTTAATAACAATTTGATTTGATTTGATTTTAGGGGAAAAACATGAAAAACTCCTGAAATAAAATAGCAAATATTACCATCCAGAATTAGCCAATGACTAGCACATTAACATTGGTCCTGATTTCTTTTGTAATATTTAATATTTTTTAAATTAAATTTATTAGGGTGACATTGGTTAATAAGATCACATAGGTTTCATGTGTACATTTCTATAGCAGGTTTGCTTGCAGCTTACTTTTTATATTAACTGCACAACATTCCTGAAAATTTAATAATTAGATTTTGATAGCTGGTAGAAACTAGCTCCAGCACATCACTCATACTGACTATCTCCATTTATTCCTTCCTCTTCATTATTCTCACTTTTGTAAACTTTTCCACCAAAAACAATTGGGGAAGAAATAAAAATATTTTTTCTATGTTTAATACCTTAGTTTAATATGCAAGTTTCAAACTTAAGTGGTTGATACAGTGTTTCCCAAACTTTTGACATATGTGTACCCCTTCTATAATTTTCATAACGCTGAGTACCCCTCGTACTCATGAGAACATAGAATTAGGTGCAGCTAAGCACGGTGCAGTGCATATCCCCACCAAACTCCGGTGCAACGTGTACCCCCACCAAACTCTTCCCGTACCCCTGGGGGTACGCTTACTACACTTTGGGAAACACTAAACAGTATTAAGATTTCTCTTTATATATACTCTAAATTTATTCCATTTCACCTTTGGTCATTAGTGCTCTTAAATCTTAATTTTTAAAATTATAACTATTAAATCAGTATGTGATATTTTTTATGATTATTTGAAAATAACATGGGGGCCTTTTTATATTTTGAGGGGAATTCATGTCTAATTATATGACTTTTATCTTACTAGTTTTTCACTAAGGATGTTATTGTGCCCTCTCCTTGGACTGATCATGAAGGGAAACAGCTTTCAGAGTATCATTCCAGCAAATGTGAGTGTACTAAAAATAATATGAATAAAACATAAAATTATAAAAATCACTGAATGTAAAACAACATATAATGAAGTGTTAGTTTACCTGCTTTGATATAGAGCTTGCTATAAATTAAATTTCTGAGGATTTAACTACTTAAGGGTTAGAATTCAAAATTTGACTAAAATTTACTGAATTTGTTTTTTGTTTTTTTTTGGCCATAATATTCTGAATTTAACTTTTTCTTCATGACCATTGTGAAAATCGGTTATAGAATGATGGTCATTGATGATCCACAGATGCAGAAGTAGTTGCTGTTGAATATAGAAAGTGAGTCCCTCCAGAGCAGAGAGTAAATTTTGTGTCTTTATCTGGAGTAGGTTTACTTATTTTAAAAGAATGGGACTTCCCACAAATTGGCAGTAACAAAATAGTCATGGGTGGTGTAAAGTACAGCATAGGGAACGTAGTCCACAATATTGTAGTAACTATGTGTTGTATCAGGGAGTACTAGACTTATCAAGGGGATCACTTTGTAAGCTGTATAAAATGTCTAACCACTTTGCTGTGCACCTGAAACTAATTAATATACTAGTAATATTGCATGTCAACTGTAATTGAAAAATAAAAAAAGAACGTGATTTCCCAAATTCAGTTTTCCTCATCTGTGATGAAAACCCAGTGTGTGCCATATCCCCGTGGGTGTTTCAGGTCTCATGCCTGGGACTTAAGGGCAAAGGGAACTGACGTGAACATGAAGCCTCTGCTGCTTGGGTGCCGGGGAGAGTGAAGTTCCGTGTCTGGACGCAGAAGCCTCCGGTCTTTCCGCATCCGTGGAACGTTGGCACGTTAACTTGTCATTGCGCAAGTGGGGTGCAATCTCAGACCTTTCACAGTTCTTGACATGGTAGCCTCTAGCCAAATATGGCTTTTTCAAATTAAATACATTTAAAAATTTAGATTCCTAGCCACATTATTCACATTTTATGTTTAAAGTGTTTGGTTTGTAGCCTAAAGACTAAGGACATAATAGGGCCTCCATGGAGTGCCTTGTTCACATGTGCCTTATAGAAGGTCACACAGCCTACAGTAAAGAAGGCATTTGAATCTAGGATTTTACTTTTTATCCATTCTGATAATATTTAATCAGAGGCTTGAACTTATTCACCCATCCCACCCACTTACTCATGCACCCATTTATTTAGGTTTGTTAGGTTACTGGGCTTTATTCTGTTACTATATTTTAAGTTTTCTGAGTTTTTTTTGTTTGGTGTGTTTGTTTGTTTGTTTTTGTCTCCTTGCTTTTTACTTTTGCTTATATTAGTCATTTTTATCATTAAATATTCTCGTTTTTTTACCTGGTGGTTTTCTGATTATGAAGCTTAGTATTTAGTCATTAACTTTTAAATTTTTTTAAATTATTTGTAGCCGTATTTTTTTATTTTAGCTGTGAAAAAGACTGAGCATGGTTTTACTTCTCAAATTTTAGGTTTTGTCAAGATGATCTGACATTTTAATTCAGACAATTTATCTAAACCCATTGTTCAAAAACATTAGGCAACAGCGGATCTGCTCGAGGATGACTAACACACATCCCAACCGTTTAAGATTGTATCATGGAGAGCAACCACGTTTTCCTTAAAAAGTATTACCTGGTGTCTCCTTATTTGCTATATAGTAATAACCTGTCAGGGGTTACCCTTGTGCTCCCTCAAAATTAAAAAAAGTAAACATAACAAAAATAACAAAGTATGTACTTAGATATGTATGCATTTATTTTTTTTAATGTAAAATAGAAGTTTCCATAGCCCTGTCCAGGTAGCTCAGTTGGTTGGAGCATTATCCCACTACACTAAGATTGCGGCTTCCATCTCCAGTCAGAGCACATTAAAAAAAAAAAAAAATCAACCAAGAATGCGTAAGTGGTGAAATAACAAAGTGACGTTTCTCCCTGAAAAATCAGTAAGTAAAAAAACAAAACAAAACAAAAAAAAACACCAAAAAACCCCCACTTTTTAATGATTACACAGAAAAAGGAAGGGAGAGGGAGAGATAGAAACATCCATGAGCAAGTCATTCATTAGCTGCCTCCTGCAAGCCCCTCCTCCCCAGGGATCCTGCCTTGAACCGGAATCAAACCAGTGAGTGGTGCATGGGAAGATGCTTAGCCAACTGAGCCACACCTTCTGCGCAACAAATAAAATAAAATAAATTTTTTTAAGTTTCCACTTTATTTTTTTTTACTCCAGAAAATGTAACGCTAAGTAAATGAAGAATATAAAATAGAGGATTTTTCACTTAAAATGTTTTACAGGTATTAAAATAACTAATGAATCTCCAATTGGAAGAAAGCTGACCATCTATTCTGGGAAAAGCAATGGTGAGTATGAATATATTCTGAAAAGAAGTACTTTGCACTTTAAGCTACATTTAATTTTAAATTCAGTTCATGTGATAATATGCTGGCATTGAAATTGCTTATTTTTTTTTATGAATGATCTGTATGAGAGCTGTCTTTTAAAATAAATCAAAATAGATACATCCAGACATGTTTTAGAAATAGCAAGTATGTTGTTGTTTTGTTCAAAGCATAGGAATTGATTTCTGTTTTTGAAAATCTTTGTGTTTTTTTTAATTTGTTAATATTGGGAGACTTATCCACAGATATAGGCTGGCTTTTTTATAAAAATGCCAGCAGAACAACCAGGAGTTAACTTGATCTATTAACAGGTTTATGTCAGTGCTACCAAGTATGGAAAGCCACTTAGAAGAAGATGACATATTACATAAAAGAATGCATAAATTAATTAATTGAGTTTAGCTGGAATATCATGGAGAGATGGTTGATTGGGAACCACATGGTAAATTGTATATAATATGCTTGCATGATTTATCCATGTTTGTTTTTTTGTATCTGCTTGTTTCCAGCTGCTTGTCAGACATTGCTGTCTCTTCCTGTGGATTTTAATTTAGAAAATGTATTAGGTATGTATTGTTCTTATTTAATCCTTTAATAACTTAAACAAAAGGTTTTGCTTTGATGGGTTATTATAAATGGAAATATGTGGCAGTGCCTCTTTCAAAAGAAGTAGGAAATCATACTAAAAAATTTTTTTAACCTGCCCTGAATAAGTGAACTTTACTATAGACATAAACTGTTTATGGATGCATCTTATTGGTACTACTTATACTAATAATAAGCACTCAAAAAAGAAATAATTTCAGATTTTAAACATCACATATGCCATTAAACTTTGTCCTATTTTTTGAAAACAATTCAAATATATAGTAGTGGTACATGGTGGTTTTTAAAAAATCAGATAACTAATGTCTAATTGCTCTTAAAAATAACTATAGCTTTGCCTTTTATTTTGTTAACCTTAAATGTAGGTGACTATTTTAGAGCTGATGAATTTGCAGATCAATCTCCCGGAAACCTCAGTTCTTCATCCCTCAGAAGAAAGCTATTTTTAGATGGCAATGGGAGTATCTCTGACTGCTTACCTCCAGCTTCTCCCAGCAGTCGTCACAGTAGTGCTCAAACCTCACTTGAAGTTTTTTATTCAATAGATTTATCTCCTGTTCAGGCTAGGAGCCCCATGCAGACACCAACTTCGGTAAGAAGTGTATTAAAATGTGGTTGGCTAACTTTGCTATAGATATACGCGGATCTTGGTTGCCCATATGCACTTGAAAAATGGCCATTTGGGTTCTATATTTCAAAAGAATTATGTTCACATTTTGTCATTAGTCAGGGATGTTTTTTGGTTATACTTTCCAATTTTGCATTTAGAGGAATACAGGATAACCAAATTTATCATGAATCTCAAAGAATTTAAATGTAAGTTATTTTCTGAATTATGTAAGATTTTTAGTATAACACAACTGCATTGGCATTAATGGAGTAATTAAATTTAAATTTTTCATAAATAGCTGATTAGTATGAAATATAGTGGTTTTTATGAGCCCAGTGATTACATATATATATATATATATATATATGTTTTTAATATATTTTATTGATTTTTTTTTTTTTTTTAAAGAGAGGAAGAGAGAGGGATACAGAGTTAGAAACATCGAGGAGAGAGAAACATCAGTCAGCTACCTCCTGCACACCCCCTACTGGAATCGAACTCGGGACCCTTGAGTTCACAGGCCAACACTATCCACTGAGCCAAACCAGTCCGGGCATATTTATATTTTTTGACTAGCATATTCTGTTTCAAAACTTTTCTAGCTATCTTCTTAGCTGTCCTTGCTATAAGATGCCTTGACTTTTGATATCTGTACTTTGGGGAATGATCAGAGTTTGCATGACCTACTTTATAAATGTGTTTTGAAGATGAAGATGCATATGGTATAATAGAGTTAAGGAAGAGAACCATAAAATTTTTTGTTTTTATCATAGGGGCAGTTTTCGTCCAGCCCTATTCAAGGTAGTGCAAAAAAATACAGTTTGGGAAGTATAACCAGCCCTTCAACTATTTCTTCACCCACTTTTTCACCAATTACATTTCAGATAGGAAAGACACCACTCTCAGGTATGTCTCATAATATAATATCAATTTAAATTTTTATATTATCAATTTTTATTATAGAGGCTCCTTTTAGTTTGTTCCATCTATAGAGCTCTAAATGACTGCTAAGCTTTTAAAATTTAAAAACCTCTTTTTTTTTTTTTTTTTTTTTTTTTTTTTTTTTTTTTTTTTTTTTTTTACAAAAAGAACAATTTAACTTCCAAAACAGTGTCTCGGCAAAGTTCTTCTCTAACTGGTAAATTCAGATAATTTGATTAATATTAATAGTATTTATATTAAACATTCTTAAAAAGGGAATCAAAGAGAGATGGAAGTTTTAGATATAAGTGGTTTTGATTTTGCTTCTGATCTATAGATTCACACTTTGGCAACCGGATATTCATATTTTGCAAACATATATTTGAGGTTTTTTTAAAGAAAATATAGTATGGAAAATTTCAGAGAAAATATATATTTTTTTTTTTGCAGTGTGTCAATTTCTGTGGAAAAGATGATAGCACTTTTTATTCACAAAAAATTATTCACAATAGAAAAAGCCTAATCATAATAAAGAAAATTGGAAAACTGAAAATGATGTATTTTGTTAGTTTTTCCATTGTGTGTGTGTGTGTGTGTGTGTGTGTGTGCCTGTGTGCCTGTGTGTGTGCACCCATGTGAAGAGTTACACATGCACAGTTCTCTATCATGCTTTCTTTGCCAAGCATTTTATTATTATTTTTTGATAGGTCATTTATTGTCTGAAACCATGAATTTGAATCACTATGTAATACGCCATTTCATGGATGTGGTATTTGTTTTCAATTGTTGGTAAACATTTAAATTGTTTCTAATATTTTCAAATAACATAACTATTGATTATCTTTGTTTGTACATCACGTTGTACATATTTATATCCTTAGTTCTCAAAGGTGGAATCATTTGGTCAAAAAGGTTGAATATTTTTAAGGCTTGATGAATTTCATCAAATTTACTTCATAAAAGGTTGTATCAGTTGAAATTTTCATCAATAGTGTATAAGAAAATCAGTTTCTCCCCATCCAGAAACACTGGCATTAACATGCTTTTTTTTTTAAATCCTCACCCAAGGATATTTTTCATTGATTTTTACAGAGTAGAAGAGAGGGAAAAACAGAGAAAAATATCAAAGTGAGAGCAACACATCTATTGGTTGCCTCCTGCATGAGCCCCAACCAGGGTGTGGTCAGGGAGGAGCCTGCAACGGAGAGATGTGCCAGAATTGAACCCGGGACCCTAAGCTAATGCTGTACCCACTAATCCGAACTGGCTAGCGCTTTCTTTTTGAAGTTTGTTAATTTGGTAAATTACAAAAAGGTCCTTTACTGCTTTAATTTTTTAATCTCTGATTATTATGACACTGAATTCTTGCTGAATGTTTATTGGTCATTTATTTTGGGGTAGGAGATTATTATTTTAGTAAATTTCTCAGTCAATGTTTTTGGACTTCAGTTGACCATGGGTGACTGAAAGCACAGAAAGCAAAACTGTAGATAAGAGAGGCTACTGTATTTCATTTATCAGATTCAGCTGTTAATTTGTAGCAGTCACATGATTTGTCCAGTATCTTCTTTGTCTATGGACAATCTATCTATACTAATAAAAGGGTAATATGCAAATCATGGTGACGCCCTCACTCTGTAATGACCAATCAGCAGGAGTCTGAATGCACGGCAGGCACAGATGGGCAGGGCTATGTGCGTGTCAGGAGATGTGAGGCTGCATCCTCTGCCCGGTGCCAGCCAGGGATGTGACGCTGTAATTGTTGATTAATAAATTTATATATTATTCTCATCTACATTTTACTAATTTTCTTTCATCTCTGACACTTCTATCATAGAGAAAGGGCAAATAGCAATATTAAATATTTCCTCTAATTCCCTTTTAATGTGCATGAATTTCATGCACTGGGCCGCTAGTGTGTTATAATAGCAATTTGCTTGTGAGGAAATAATTCTCAGGGAGTACTCTTTAATTTAAAAAAAGAAAGTGCCACAGGAAGAACCTTGTTTTACTTATTGAGACAGATTCATTTGTGCTATTGGGTTTGTTTGTTTTCCAACAGATTACATTCAATATTAGTTTCAGATATATCTCATAGTGTTTAAATAATCATATACTTTAAAAAGTATTTTCCCCAATATTGACAGTACCCACCTGGCACCATACATAGTAATTACATTATTGAGGCATTAATTACTACATTCCCTATGTGTGCTTTATATCCCCAAGACTATTTTGTTACTACAAATCTGTATTTATCAGTTCCTTCACTTTTTTCACGTAGTTCCCAAACTCCTTCTCATCTGGTAACCATCACATGTTTTTTATGTTTCTTTGTTCATGTTCTCTACATTCCATGTATAAGTGAAATCACATGGTATTTGTCTTTCTCTGACTGACTGACTTCACCTAGCATAATACCCTCTAAGTCCATCCATGCTGTCACAAATAGTAAGGTTTCATTTTTGTTTATGGCTGTATATATTCACTCGTCTGTTGATAGGCACCTGGGTTTCTTCTATATCTTAGCTATTGTAAATAACAAAACAAAAAGATAACCTACTGAATGGGAGAAGATATTTACCAATGATACATCCAATCATCCAAAAAGAGGTTAATATCCTAAATTTATGAAGAACTCATACAACTCAACATCAAAAAGATGATGTTTTTATCCAATTAATATATGGGCAAAGGACCTGAATAGACACTTTTCCAAAGAAGCCTTATAGATGACAAACATATTAAAATAAGCTCAACATCACTAATCATCAGAGAGATACAGATTAAAACCATAATGAGAAATCACCTTACACTTGTTAGAATGGCTAACAGCTATAAATCAACAAACACTGTTGCTGGGAATGGAGATTGCTGCAATGACTATGGAAAACAGTATGGAAGTTCTTTAAAAAAATTAAAAATATTACCGCAATTCTACTTCTGGGTATATATCCAAAGAAACGCCAAATACTAATTTGAAAGTGTATATGCACTCCTGTATTCATTGCAGTGTTATTTACAATAGCCAAGATATGGAAGCAAGCTATGTGCTATTTCTAACAACAGAATTTTATTCAGTAAACAACACAACTGTTAATAGGAATCTATTTTTTTCTGACATGAAACATGATTACCATTTAGGAATGGCTTTTCCATTTTTATGATTTTATGATATAATTTTTTTCTCCCAATCTTTTAGAACAAAGGAAGCTTACTTTTCATTCTCCTGATGCTTCATCTGGAATAAATTCTAATGGAATTAGTAATTCATGTATCAGAAGTCCTTACATAGATGGCTGCTCACCAATTAAAAATTGGTCTCCTATGAGACTTGAGATGTATAGAGATGGTACTCAATATCGGACCTCACTTCTTCAAATACCTTTTACCCTTGAGGCTCACAGTGAAGATGAAGAAGATAAAGCAAATGCTCCTTCCACAGATGCCTCATCACCTGCCATGGACACTACTGGCATCCACCTGCGGCAGTCGGATAGCAATGCTTCTCATGGCACATGTTTAGTAGTGACTTCCATGTCCGTTACACAAAATCAGTCCAGTGCTTCTGCAAAAGTCCTAGCACTGCTACAGGATGTTGAAAGTGAGAAGGAGAATAACACTGTGGATATGGTTGATCCTATAGAGACAGCAGATGAGAACACGTGGATTAAGGAGCCGGTGGATAATGGGAGTTCACCTATGACTGATTCCTTGAGTGGAATCATTGAAAACTCTCATATGTGTATGTCACCTCTTGCAGAAAGCAGTGTAATTCCTTGTGAAAACAGTAACATTCAGGTAAAGTATATTCATATTTTGTAGTTCTGTACTTGCTCCCTTGGTGTTCTTTAAGCCTTTCTTTTCTAAGACTGTGGTAAGACAGTAAATGCATTAAATATGAGGACTATAGCATTTATTTGGAGTAGGAAACAATGAGAGCAGAGTAGAAATCAAGCAGCTCTGTTTTTTTTAAAGAAGCAGGATTAATCTTTCATGTGGAACTAGTGCCAAAGGAATTCAATTTCCTATATAGCATTTTTGTATTTTGAAAATGCAGTTTTGGTTTTCCTTTGTAATATTTAGTGAGAAAAAAGTTGAGCTTAGAGCACTTTTATGTATTTTTTTTGGTACTTTAAAAAAATGTGATTTCATAACCAAAATTTTTAATTTTATAATATCTGGTAACAGGACAGTATGATTCATTTGACTTCATAGCCAGCACTTATTTTCAGAAAGCCACTTGTTCCATTAATTGCCGTATTTTTTGAGCTAAAAATGTTGAAAGAACTTTAAAATAATCAGAAAGGCAATTATTATCTGCCTTTTCATAGTAATAATGCTTAGGTAATTCTTACTCTATGTCTAATATAATTCTGAGCACTTTGAATGTGTTAATTTGTTTATAATGTTCACAACAATCCTTTGAAATAGGTGAAAAATTATCCCCATTTTACAGATGAGGAAATGGAGGGTCAGGGAAGTTAAGTAAATTGCCATACAGCTAGTAAGTGGTAGAGCCAAGATTTGAATCCTGACATTCTGGCTTTAGAGTTCATATAATTTAATCCAAGTTTATACTGACTCATAGCAATAAATACTACTTACGCTGTGTTTCAGTATGCCAGGTACTCTCATTTAATTTTCACAACAACCCTATAATGCTTTAGTGCTATCAGTTTTGGCATGCTAAAATCTAAAACTCATGGAGGGATCCTAAATGACCCCAAATTAAATATAATATTTTGCTCATATTTTTGTGCCTAAACTGTATATCCTGACTTATTGGATCATTGCTAATAATAATAATAATAATATAACTCTAGAATTATTTCTAGCAATTTAGCTTCTAAAGTTGATTCTTAAGTGAAAAAGCACATACAAACTTGGTTTAAAGGTATTATAAGCTTATTTTTCTCACTACCTCTCTGCTTTTCACAGCATTATAGAATAACTAGATGCCCAGCATGAAAATTCATGCACTGGGTGGAGGGGGGATCCCTCAGCCCCGCCTGCCCGCTCTCACAGTCCGGGATCCCTCAGGGGCTGAAGGTGACCAGGCAATCAGGGGAAGGTGATGCCCTAGCACACCTCTGCTGCTGCCACTGCCGGCAGCACCAGCCTTGGCCAGCCCTGGTTACCTGAGCCCTAGGCAGCCCTGCGCTCCTGGGCAGCCACCATCCAAGGCTTGCCTGCACCTCAGGCTGGCCCAAGGGGGCTCAGGGGACTGGGTGCTGCCACCTTGTGCCTGTGGACACCGCCATCTTTGTGAGTGTGGCAGTCAGTTAGCATATTCCCTCCTATTGGCTTTGGGCGTCATCTTTGTGATGCATGAGGGTCAATTAGCATATTCCCTCTTTATTAGATAAGATTATAAAATAGTTTCATTGAAATATACCATCCTAGCCATTGGAAGCCTATGTCTAATTAAATTTTCATCCACTCTAGGAAGAGGATGAATACCTGCAGGGATACTTCAATTCATTTTGGGACTTCTCATCCTATATAATAAAGAGCTAATAGGCAAATGGTCATCATGCCCTCACGCCATTATACCTTAACAGCTCAGACATTCAACACTGGAGAGGGAGGAATAGGGACAAGCCAAGCACAAATGAGCTCATGAGAGAGAAATGGAGAACAGCCAGGCTGTGGCCCGGGAGAGGGACAAGCCGCCCATCCCATGGTCCTGGGTGCCAGTGTCTGCATCTGCTGCCCAGGAGAAGGACAAGCTGCCCACCCTACGGTTTCAGGTGCCAGTGCCTACAGCTGGGGAACCTCAGACCATGCCCCCTGCCTGGCAGGGCTTGACTGGACCTCAGACTTTGCCCACCGCCCCTGTGCTGGGCTGGGGGACTTTAGGCCGCACCCCCACCCCAGCGCCGGGCTGGAGGACCTGAGGCTGCATGCCCTGTCCTGGCACCAGTTTGGGGGACCTGAGGCCTGTCCCCACCTTGCAGGGCTTGACAGGGGACCTAAAGCCACGACCCCACCTGTAGGGCTTGACAGGGGACATCAAGACATGCCCCCCGCCCTGGCCTACGCCAGGAGACCTGAGGTCATGCTCCCTGCCTGGTGGGGCTTGATGGGAGACCTCAGCCCACGCTCCCCTCCCTGGCGCCGGCAGGGCTTGACAGGGATGGGGCCAGCTGGGTCTGGGTCTCATACAGTTTTGAGGCACACATGGATGGGTGCGGACTTGACTCTGGTTCCCATGGTGCACCCCAGACTCTGACAGGAGGGAGATTTTCATACACATTTTACTAATTTTCTTTAATCTCTGACACTTCTATTATAGAAAGAGGGCAACTAGCAATATTAAAATGTCTCCTCTAATTAATTCCTTTTTAATGTGCATGAATTTTGTGCACCGGGTCACTAGTTTGTAAATACTTGTCCTTTAGACTTTGAAGGCATGGTTTCATTGATTCTGTTCGATATTGCTGGTGAGAAATCTGAAACCACTGTAATTCTTTTATATTTTGTATACTAGTATATCTTTTCAAGCCCCACCCCCTCCCACCATCCCCCAGAACATAGGATCTTTGTCCAGGGTTTTGAAATTCTAGTGATTTTTTGATATGCGTTTCTTTTCTTCAGTTATCCTGGGTACTCAGAGGGCTCTTAATGGTAAATTCATGCCCTTCACTTATTGGCTCTTTTCTTGTAATATCTTAGATTTCTTCTCTGTTATTGTCACTGTTATCTCTGGAACTCCTATTGATTCTTCAATTTTTGAAAAATTTTTCACTATATTTTTTATCTCCTTTTCTAACTTTTGGGAAGTTTCCTCAATTTTATATAATAATCCTTTTGAATTGGGGGGGGGGGCATGGGGAGTTGTTTTGTTTTGGTATTGTTTTTAAAATGTATGGCATGGCTAGCAGAGCGGTGCATGGTCTGGCCTTGGCCTTATTTTCCAGCCTTATTTTGTTTCCTTCAGTCTTTGTCAATCCCAGTAGCTTTCCAGAGTTTTGAATAGTCATGTTCCTTCTTGTTGAAGAACCTTTGCATGCAATATAGAATTTGTTTTCCTATCTCACTTACTTAACTCCTATTTATTTTTCAGTTTACAAGTTAATGGTCATGTCATCAGAATAGCTTTCCCCGGTTACACTAGCTGACCCATGTCTCATTATGTGCTTACCTAATTCCATGGACATTTTGCATTCTTTCCAATCAGACTATTAATACAGTAATCATGTGTTTCTCTTTATCCCAGAAGTTACTAAAAAAAAAAAAATTAAAAAAAAAAAAAACTTGGCATGTAACTTAGCATGTAATAGCAGCTCATTAAATATTTGTGGAATGAAAGCCTAATGAGTGCATATATAAGTTCAACTAGAAGGACATATAAATTGAGAAGAAAGGTTTAGAATCCTGAGAAAAAATTGAGGGAATGGATAAAGGAAGCAGAGTCCCTGAAAAGGACTGATGACCAGCCAGAGAGTAAGTGGGGGGTTCTAGGAAAGTGAAGTGTGATGGAATTTTTAAGGAGAAAAGAATACTTAGTAGGTCCTACTTCATCTTATTGTGCTTCTCAGATATTGCGGGGGTTTGTTTTTTTTGTTTGTTTTTTTTCAATTTGAAGACCTTCTATCAGCAAAAAGATGACAATCACTTTATTGCGATACTCACTTCTATGCAGTGGTCTGGAACCAAGCCTGCAATATTTCTGAGGTATACCTGTACATTCAAAACAAAGGCAAGGGTTGTAAGGCTTGAAAAGTGGCTGTTGGATTAATAAAAGAAGTAATTGGTGAGTGAGCAACCTTAAGGTGGGAGATAAAAGGTAAATGAAAGGAAGGTAATGGAAAATATGTTTTAATAACTTCTTTGAAGACCTTAGATTTATGATAGCTAGGGAGAACATTACAGTCCAAAACTACATTTTTGTAATTTTTCTTTTTTATGTTGCTTTTACTTTAGATGGGAGAAAATAGCATATTTATATGAATGAGCGATGGATAAGAGTAAAAGGAACAAAGAAAACTAGAAATTGGCAGGATAATTAATAATAGGTATCAGTTATGTGTCCTTTTCAAGTATTTTATGGCCAGAATCTATTCCTCATGATAATTTACAGTATATGTAATAGATGTCATCTGTAAAACAATGATCATTTTATATATGAGGGATCGGAAGCTTGCAAGATGGGATAGAATCTAGAGCTCTGGTAGCAGGATTAGCAGAGGTACCCCTTCCACTTTTATAGGAAGAGGGCCGAGAGCAAGGATGGGTGTGACTGCAACTGTTTGGAACTGGGGGTGGGGAGAGTTCACATGGCTTTAAAGAACATGGGGAACCCAGATGGCAGATTTCAGTTTTTTCCCCCAGCTATTCTATCAATTTCAGAAAGTAACTTCTTTGAGCTTGTTCCCTCTTATTTAAAAAACTAAAGGCCCAGTGCATTAAATTCATGCACAGGTAGGGGCCTAAGCAGCTATTGGCTGCCTGCTGCTGGCCGTGGCCTCCTATCCCCTGGCCACCTGCCGCTGCGGCCGCCACCTGGTTGAACTCCCAGTTGAACTCCTGTTGAGGGGACAATTTGCATATTAGGCTTTTATTATATAGGACTAGAGGCCCAGTGCATAATATTAGTGCACTGGGGGGAGTCCTCTCAGCCCACCCTACCCCCAGTCCAGGAGCCCTCAGAGGATGTCCAACTGGAACCGGGAGCGGGCCTAAACCGCAGTCTGGCCTCCCTCTGCGGGCTGATCAGGACAAGGTGCCACCCCCATCACCCTGTTGCTGCTGCCACTGCTGGCCGCCAAGGTGTTTTCATCAACACAGACTCCAGTCCCTTTACCACGAAAAAATGACAACTTTCTTTAGGCATTTTCAAGATGTATCTTTCATAGGATATGACATTTCTTTTTCTTTCTTTTTTTATTCTCACCTGAGGATATTTTCCCATTGATTTTTAGAGAGCATAGAAGAGAGTGGATCAGAGAGAAACATCAGTGTGAGAGGGACATTTTGATCAGTTCCCTCCTGCATGAGCCCTGAGCTGGGCCCTGGCCAGGGAGCAGCCTGCAACCTAGGTACATGCCCTTGATCAGAATCAAACCTGGATTTTGTGGTTCGTAGGCTGAGGCTCTATCCACTGAGCCAAACTGGCTAGGACAGGATATGGCATTTCTTAGCCCCTCTAGTAGTGACCCTTCATTTTTTCCTCTAGAAATGCGGTGGAAAAACCATAGATCACCTTCTTGGGTTCTTATTACCCAAGTTATTAAAAACGTTGCAGGAGCTTAGCCAATGAGTGCTCAGAATAGATGTTTCCTCTGCAGCTCACATGTAGAGGTGGGCCTGCTCGGGCTGGGCGGTGGTGGCGGCCTGGGCGCGTGCACGCGCACACACACACACACACACACACACACACACACACACACCCCAGCCTCTCAGCTCCTGCTCCCGGGGCTTTTGGAGCCGCTGGCCTGGGCACCAAGTCCTCCTGCCTCTCCGCTCCCGGGGCTTCTGGGGCCAGGGGGCTGCGGCTTGGGCACCCCCTGTCTTTCCAATCAGGGGCTGCACCATCCATGATTTGCATCACAAGGCAAGGAGTCCCTCCCATCTGCGCACACAACCTCCTCCTGAGATGATAATGACTATTATGATATCCCCACTAATATATATATATATATATATGAGAGAGAGAGAGAGAGAGAGAGAGAGAGAGAGAGAGAGAGAGATGGGATGGTGGTAGGATTATAGGATAATGCTGTGATCACTGTTTAATGTGAGCATTCATTTTCAATAAGTAATGAGAGACTGAAGGTAGCAAGCAAACAAGAGGGACAGACAATGATGAGAATGATGAGGAAAGGACTAGAGTGCTGAGGCCAGATTTCAAGGAACACTTGGTAAGCCACAGCTATTGTCAGTTATGAACCTTGAAGATTTATAGAAAGCCACATGAGATTTATGTGGGAGAAAAATAAATTTAGTAACAATGTGTAGCATGACTGGTAGTAGAAATACCAAGTAAAGGCAGCACAGTCCAACTGGAAGAATATAAATATTACAATCAGAACTAAATTTGAACTAAAGTTATTTATGGCTGGTGGGATCTTAAGGCAGGATCCACTAACAGTGAGTAGAGCCTGACTTGTTAACCTTTCTGAGCACCTCATCTTCTGAGCTTTAACGTGATGCTGATGCCTACCTTTTGTCTGGCGAGTAAGATGATCTTTATGATCTAGTTGATGCATAGTAGGCATGACAGTAGCAGTAGTCTTGATGAGAGCAGTGTTCAGCCACCATCTTATGGGTATCATTGTCCCTCCAGGATGGGACAAACTCGGGTGTGCCGTAGTTGCTCTCCACTGGACAATTAACTTTTTCTTCATATATTCAATTATGTATTCATTTTTTAGTTTATAAGCTACTTACTTTGCACTGGTGAATAAAAGGAAGAGTTTTTGGCAGAGTGTCTAGAGGCAATCTGATAATTACATTTTTGACCAAACAGTTGCAGAATGATAGAACAGGTATTTCCTCTGGGATGTACTACAAGATTTTTATTTTACACATCACAAGGGTTTTTTTCCAAATGGAACGTGACTCCATAGTGAACACATACATATCCATCCCTGAAAACTAGAAACATTTTTCTTAAGATGATAGAATGCGCTTTCTCAGCTAGTCTAATGCTTGTGATGGGGGCGCAAAGTACCCACCTTTCCCTTCTTTCTAATCCTAATGTGCAAAATCGGGCTTAAGTGCAAGGTGAATCCTTCTTGGGTTTTGTGTTGTTTGATGCTCAGCAGGTAAATGCAGTGTGTGTTGTAGACAGGAACTCGGGAGCCTAAGTCTTTATTACCTCATTTTCCCTGACATGTGAAGGTTAACCTTTCTGAGTCTTACTTCCTCATCTACAAAGAGGGTTGTAGTAAGGAGAAAATAAGAATGGTACGATATGGAGTGCCATATAGAAGGCCTAGCATTTTTTTAGGCACTCAATAAAAATATATGTACCAAAACTGAAGTTTGAATACTCATAAAGGTAGATTGTATTTAGAGATGCAACCAAGCGATTTGGAGACAAGCTTGGTAAATGAGTTGGAGGTGAAATTGATTGTAATCCTCACTTTCATCTCAAATGCACAGGTAGGGGCCTAAGCAGCTATTGGCTGCCTGCTGCCTTGAGTGTCATCTCAAGGTAACAGGAAAACATATTTAGTGCCATATTCACTGATTCTAAAGAAAATTGCAAAATAGTAAACTGACTACTTTGAAGAACCAATTCTATGTAGAACTACCTTTTATGTTTATAAATTACTTTTAGGTTTCATTCACTATGATCAACTATTACAGTTGTGATAGTGTAACTAGCTATTCACTTAAATATTTTTAAATAAATTTACTTAAACATAAAAGCTCCTCAAAATAAATTTTGTGGATAAGTGAATTAATTCGCAATTTATTCTTAGTGTGTGTTTTTTCCCCCTCCTCATTCCTGTCAGATGGATAGTGGTTATAATACACAGACTTACGGAAGCAATATTATGGATACGGTTGGGGCAGAAAGTTACTACAAAGAAAACGATGCACAAACTTTGGAAGTCGAGATCAAACCTCAAGTTTTTAATATAAAGGTATGGAATAAAACAGAAAGCTTGATGTGGTTGTAGGTCCTAAGTGTTCACTAAGTGAGATTTTTTTCTCTACCTTTTCTCCTCTATTTTGCTTAAAATTTTGTTGACTATCATGTTTATACCTAATCTTTCAGGTCATTTAGTAGCAGGTGAAGATGATTTTTAAATGGAAACTCTTCATTTTCCTAACTCTGCTTGAGAGTGTTAAAGAAGAGGTTGGAGAGGGAGAATTAGTCCTACTTTGGAATTGGTCCTTGAAATCAGTTCCTTAAACCTAATTGGGACTAGGAGTAGGAGGTCCAAAGAGGAGGAAACTCAGAGGTTTTTGCCTCTGATATTGTCTTAAAGTCATGTAAAAAAGAATTTTTATTATGAGAGGGAAATAGTACAATTGAGAGACTATGCATTAAATTAAGAACATTGAAAGGTAAAGGCTCTTGGATGCTGAATGAGAACAAGTATCTTATATTCAAAGTACTTATAATTTATACAAAAATACTGTTGATGACATTTACTGAACTTCTACATAGGATGGTTATAACTATGTTCACATTTGAAGAAACCCATCATAATTTCAGGCATTATCAGGAGAATCTTTAAATTTTTGTATGCTAATTTAATAAACACAGTAAATATCAGCAAGTGTGCTACTGAAGAGAATTTTCCAAATGAGAGTTAAGACTTAATATGGAGCCGAAACCGTTTGGCTCAGTGGATGGAGCATCGGCCTGTGGACTGAAAGGTCCCAGGTTCGATTCCGATCAAGGTAATGTACCTTGGTTGCGGGCACATCCCCAGAAGGGGGTGTGCAAGAGGCAACTGATCGATGATTCTCTCATCGATGTTTCTAACTCTCTATCCCTCTCTCTTCCTCTTTGTAAAAACTCAATAAAATATGTATTTAAAAAAAAAAAAAAAGACTTAATATGGAGCCACAACTACAATGGGATTATAGTCCATTTAAAAATGAGAGGTCAAAACCGGTTTAGCTCAGTTGATAGAGCGTCAGCATGCGGACTGAAAGGTCCTGGGTTTGATTCCGGTTAAGGGCAGTACTTGGTTGCGGGCACATCCCCAGTAGGTGCTGTGCAAGAGGCAGCTGATCAATGATTCTCATCGATGTTTCTCTCTGTCCCTCTTCCTCTCTGTAAAAAATCAATAAAATATATATAATAAAAATAAAAATGAGATAGAGGAAGTACTTTTTGATTATAAATATTGATTAGTAAAAAACCCTATCTTCACTGACCCTTTAGAATCTGCATTTCGGTTTTTAAAAGTTCTAATAATAGCTGCATCCTCAAACAGTCCTATTTAAACTGAAAATAAGGTATTTTCTTTATTCACAGCAAGACCATAAGACACAGAGGTGTTGGAGGAAAGCAGCAAATCCTCAATGCAGCAGTCCACAGAGCACCTCTCTCAGAACCAAAAACTACCGTTGAATAGCTCCTCGCTTATTTTTCTTCTTGCTTATTATTTATGATCATTATTGGGGAAAATTGCTTCAATAAGCATAGCTTTTTTTCTTTCCCTCCTCAATGTGACATATCAAGGACTTAATTTAGTGACCTACGAACATCAGAAAAGCACTTGGAGCTTTCAACAAGTTGCTGAAGTACAAGTTTATTTTTGGTCAATAAATATTTTTGTACTAACCTTGAGTGATGTGTTTACAATAAAAACTTAAGAATGTTGACTGCTATATCCTAATGTCGTAACGGGTTGGAGGGAAGGCCTCATCTCTCCTGGTAGCTTGTGGAAGTGGGGTTCTTGGGGTACTGCTGGAATAAGAACTACCGGAGGCCCCCACAGGAGGACAAGATACGATAGAAAGCTTTATTTCCGTGGAATTACACCCTTGTCCAGTCATAAAAGAAGTGTAGCTTCAGTAGAGCTAAAATCAGAGCCATTGTCAATGTCCTTTCTATGATGGAGCCAGGTGCAGCCCAGCAACTACCTAGCTTAGCTTATTTCCCCTGTCCATTGTATATGGGGTCCCCATGGCCCTGGGCCATAGAGGCGAATGCTGGAGAGCCAAGAGAGTGCCAAGAGCAAAGAAAAAGAACTGTTGAGGCTATTATGTATTCCCAAATTTTCATGCATTTGCAGTGGCCCCACTCAAATTTCTGTCCCCGCGTGTAATGAATAGATAAGCACCTTCCCTGTGTCACCCCAACTTTACTGGACATGAGGCTGTCTTTTCTTTGTCCAGTTCCTTCCCCCAATATTTTGTAGGAAATAAGCTGGTGGTTCGCTGGGAAGTGAAAGCAGCAGCTTCCTAGTGAAGCTGCACAAATGACATGCCTACAATATCTTGACTTCCCTTGGCTTCTTTCCCATCTTATATAATAAAAGGGTAAGATGCAAATTGACTCTAATGGCAGATCAACCAGGAACGATTGGTCTATCAGTGTTTCCCAGGGGTACGGGAAGAGTTTGGTGGGGATATGCACTGCACCGTGCTTAGCTGCACCTAATTCTACGTTCTCATGAGTACGAGGGGTACTCAGTGTTACGAAAATTATAGAAGGGGTACACATATGTCAAAAGTTTGGAAAACACTGGTCTATATGGTGCACACTGACCACCAGGGAGCAGACGCTCAACGCAGGAGCTGCTCCCTGGTGGTCAATGCACTTCCACAGGGGGAGCGCTGATCAGCCAAAAGCCAGCTCATGGCTGGCCAGCACAGAGCATGGCAGGAGCCTTTCCCATCTCCACAGCAGTGCTAAGGATGTCTGACTAACAGTTTAGACCAGCTCCCCTTAGTCAGACATTCCCTGAGGGCTCCTGGGCTGCCAGAGGGCTGACTGCCAGCTTAGGCCTGTTCTCCCTGGGAGCAGACCTGCCATCAGTCAGACATCTCCCAAGGGATCTTGGACTGTGAGAGGGTGTAGGCCAGGCTGAGGGACCCCTTCCCCCCAAGTGCTGAATTTTCATGCACCAGGTCTCTAGTCATTAATAATCAACTAATTATAATAGTATCACTACAGGGTTAATGTAAGACTGCCTTACTGCTTTTAGCAGTGGAACTGTACATGTAAGTACAGACGAATTTAAATTTATAACCTATGTGAAAGAAGTAAATCTGATTTAGATACAAAACAAATTTATCCAAGAGGTAGGAAGGAGGTAAGGCAGATTTCTAAAATTTCTCATTTTTGGACTCTGTTCATTTCTTTGTAGAAATTCTTAGTTCCAGTGATAACTGGCCCAGTGACTACTTTAAAAAGTATAAATACTAGGTAGAACTATCAGCATCTTCATATTATATATTACTTTTTCATTAGTAGGTAAATGTGGATGCCCAGAATATTCTCCATCCCTAGGCTAAAGACATCCTTTCCAAGTCAGTTTGGCTAGGGAGAGGAATAGGAGTAGAACCAGGATCAACAGTGGGAACTGGGTGACAATGGCATTCCTGTTAGAGCTTTAGACTTAGGACAGTGGTCAGCAAACTGCGGTGCGAGAGCCACATGTAGCTCTTTGGCCCCTTCAGTGTGGCTCTTCTACAAAATACCACTGCCTTGGCGAGTCTATTTTGAAGAATTGGCGTTAGAAGTATAAAAAATTGGGGTCTCAAAAGAAATTTCAATTGTACTGTTGATATTTGGCTATTACAAATTACTTTTTAAATTTTTCTGATTTATAAATGAGTAAAAATTCATGTGCAGGCCTAGGAAATAAAGACCTAGTAACTTTGTGTCATTTTGCCTTAATTTCTTTCTTTTTTTTTTCTGCACCTTTTATTACAACCTTCCAAAAATTATTTCTTGAGGAAATTAAAAATGGCGACAGAGTAAGTGGATGCTGCATGGACATGCTCCCAAGAACAAAAAATATTCTTACTGAATATTTAGCTCCTCCTGTCCCCCAGCACACTAACCATTAAAGTCATTAGTCACTATGTCCATTGCTAACGATACTGCATTTGGAAGTTGAGTCCTTAATCACATAGGTTTTAAATTGATATCAACTTAAGACTATTGCTATTCTTAAGAGTTCTAAATACTAGGGTAGGAGCTTCCCTGACTATGTTTTTATGTGTTTTTTTAATAGCACAAGTGAAAAAACAGTGAACAAAGTAGTGGCTATAACTTGGATTCAAACACCACCTGTCACTGAACTACTTGAACTGGGCCATGAAAACCTCAATCTTCTAATCTGTTAAAGAGATAACAATACTACCTAACAGGGCTTCTTAATATTCCAAGTAAGCTACTTAACATAAGAACTAACACGAGTAGCATTTTAGATAACCAAGGCAAAGGCTTTGAAAGGGTGAAAGGATTTCTGGGCATCTTGAACTGCTCACTGGGGACTGAATTAGGCCTTCCTCATAAATGAGATGTTAGAGAACAAACTTGGAAAGATGAACATAATGTCAGTTATAGCCTCCTTACTTTACCAAGAAGCCTCCCTTTTCCTCTACTGCAGGTAAACTATGGTCCACTGGCCAAGAATTTTAAAGTAGTTTGGGGAGGGAGATATCAAATGGATATTTTATGACACATGAAAATTATGAAATTTAAATTTGTGTCTATAAGGTTTTGTTGGAACACAGCCATGCTCGTTTGTTTTCACAGTCAATGGCTGCTTTCACATTGTCAGAGCAGAAGAGTTGAGTACTAAGGTTGTAACAGACTGCACACTAGCAGATTCTTAAATGTCTGGCCCTTACAAAAAAGCTGCTGACTCCTGCGCTTTGTCCATTACTTGGACCCAAGACAACTCAAAACTATCTTCCTTCAACTGAAACAATTTCTGCCTCAGTGAATGGATGTTTTCCTCAGTAACAGGACACCGGAACAAATCATTTAACAACTTCCGAGCGCCTAAAAGTACACACTGTAGTTATTCCTACTTAGTATACCTCTGACACATATGATAATCCTCTCATTGTGCCACAAGTTCCTTCAAGGCACAGGCAGTTTACTTAACTGGTGATAAGCCTGCTACATTTTAGGTACTTTAAAGATTGAATAAGCCAAGTAAAATGTTTTAAGGTAGCTATCTCAAAATATTTTTGAAAACATCAATTTATCATTACTAATTTTTGTGGTTAACAAGGGAAGTAGTCACTCTGACACATCAAATTATAAAACTTAGATTTGTTCCCTTTAATATTTATTTACACAATCCCCCCTTTCCAATATAATCTGATACATAGTTTAAAAGCCATTCATTACCTACTTTTTATTTTATAAGTAATATGATGTGACATTTAAAATACTCTTCAGTCTTTCTTTGGATCCCAGACCCTTATTTGGGGGAGATATTTGAGGTGAAGGTCGAGGATGATGATCACTCTTATTACCTAGTATGAAGCAACTATTTTTCCATGATTGCCTTCCTTCAATATCCACTCCCAAACACATACAGCTGTTCAAGCATCATTTAGGAACTGCAGGCTTTCTAATAGAGAGCACATAATGTATGTTAGGTAAATTAAAGACAGCACAGATTACTGAATTCCCAACAGATCTTAATTGTCTTGAAATTCAAACACTGCCATACTATACAATACAGCTTTCAAAGATTTAGACAGATTGTTCTTTACTTCTAAAAACGTTCTGTTTTTCTCCATAAGGAAATGGTAGTATTTTTCTATCAATATTAAATAGTCAAATCACTTTTGCAAAGTTGATCTGCTCTTCAATGAGAGGATGAATGCTCCCTTTAAATGATCTTTACAGATCCCTGACTTTGCTATCCTCACTGTTTAAGTGATGGATATTCAACTGAATTTTCCTGCATAAATAGCTTTTTTCAGTCCAGAAGTAAAATAGTATAATGGGACAGACACAACAGTTCAATAAAAATGTAAATTTTTAAAATTATTAAAATGTACTTAAAAATAATAAATTGTTTCACACACTTCTTAGGATTAGAAATGTCTTCTCAAGTTCATTGTTGTTTTCAATGTTCTTAAAAGGAAACCAGCCCTTGAAATTTTTTTGCTGGCTATAGCTATTTTTCAAGCTTCTTCTTCTTTTGCTCTGGTTCACTGATGTCCATGTTTGAAGTATCAATAGGAATACTTATTCCTGGTATCTGAAGTAATACAAATGGGGGAAAATTAGGTTGAGTAAAAGTATAAAATAAGGAATAAATCTTATTCTCATTTCCCCTTTCCCCACTAATACTTTCAATTTCAAAAGGATAGAGGGATGGGGGGGGGGGGAGAGGTTTTCCATACAAAGTATAAATTTCACACATAAGGTAACAGTTCAAAAATGTTAGGCATGTTATCAACACATGAGAAATAAGTCATTTGGGAAGTATGTGTTTAACACGTCCAATTATCCTAGCTGAGCCACCATGACTGTCTGCATCAGAGCAGGTGTGTTGGGGCAAAACAAAAGAACCAATATCTTTTCAAAAATGTAACTTCACAACTGATAAAACTAAAAACTGGTTATGCGAGAGATCTCAAAGAACT